TACCGATATGTTTATGAAACATGACTAACAAAAAATAGTAAAAAATAAAATGATCATTTACAAATTTTTTTCACACTTGTACATTGTTATTGATACAGCTATTTGATTTTTGTTTCTATTTTGATACGTCTGTACCATTTAAGTGTATACTTGTAGATGTGAGAACTCAGGCCATGTATCAGATGATGGACGAAGGATTTGTTGGTCTTATATTCTCTGTCTTCAATGAAGACAAAGCTACAAAGGTTAGTCATACAAGGGAGATGAGGCTCTACTATATGAGTTTATAGCTATAGTCAAATAGGGATGGGTATCACCAAAAATTTCGTATCGCGATATATCACGATTTTTCCACACAATATCATGATAATATCATGATATTTCTAAGAGGAGTTTTTACAATGATTTTATAAAAAAAAGTCATTATTTTTCTAAATAGTATGCTAGAAAAACAAAATTTTACTTTCGTAAAATTTTTAAGTCTATAAAATCAATTATGTTTGGACGGAAAGATGCAATTCTTTTCACTTTTTACAACATTTATTATACTTTCTGTAATTCTAATTTGAAAGATTGAACAAGTAAATGAATAATTTCTGGACTTTATAATATGTACCTAAAGACCGGTATTTTCGCACATCCCTATAGTCAAACTTCATTATCTGGAGCTTGATGGTATCTGAAAAAAGAGATTTCCAAGGGTTTCAAATGTTTACGTAAAAATACATTAAGAAAAAGTTGTTGTGACCTCCAACTTACTGTGACTTATCATCAGTGTTTATAATACAAAAGATCAATTATATACATTGCATCATCTTTAACAATGATTTTTCTCCTATTTTGACTTGGTAAAATACTTAAATCATTGGCTTCCCCAGCAAATTTAAATTCCACATCATTTTAATAAGAGTTTTTATTAGCTAATGAAAGTGGCTAGCAGAGGTCTCTTCATAATAATGTATATCTGTATAACGATCTAGTTCACCACTTTCACAACACCTGATTTCAGCAAGTTAGGTATTTGGTATTCATTAGTGAGATAATTTTTTTTGTATAAATAAATATCTTTAGAATACATTTCAGTGAGCTGATCTTCTCACATAATCATACAAAAATAAAGTTCTCATGAACATGATGAATATAAATGATTTGAAAAATTTTACTCGACTGAAATAAATTGACTTCAAAAAGTTATAGATGATACATAGATGATACATCTTTAGTTTTCCATAGGGGTGATGATAGATGGGGGATGAGTTATTTAACAGTTTTAAACAGATTTAATGTCAAAGCAGGTCCAAATATATGAATGATATTGTATTATAATGGTGATGTATTCGTAAATAATTTCAGTGCTGTCATTTTTACAGAGCTACAGACATCAGCTGACTTGTTTCCAGTCCGTAAATCAGGCCAGGGAAGGCTACCCTCCACAGTGAGTTTGATTTCAACCTCCAGTTTAATTTCTAGTTTCAATGCAATGTAAAATATTTGACTGAAAAAATCTCAAACGGAAGAGAGAAAAGAAGGCGGGGGGTCTTTTTTTTTTTTAGCTCACCTGAGCAAGTGAGCTTTTCTGATCACATTTTGTCGTCCGTCTGTTAACTTTTCACATTTTTGACTTCCTCTCAAGAACCACTGGTCCAATTTTAACCAAACTTGGTACAAAGCATCCTTATGTGAAGGGGAGTTTAAATTGGTAAAATGAAGGGCCAAGACCCCTCACAAGGGGAGATAATCTAGAAGAGACAAAAATAGGGTGGGGTCATTAAAAAAAATCTTCCTATCAAGAACCACTAGGCCAGAAAAGCTGAAACTTATGTGGAAGCATCCTGGGGTAGAGTAGATTCGCAATTGTTCAAATCATGACCCCAGGGGGTGGGCAGGGCCACAATAGGGAGTCATAATTTTAAATAGAAATATATAGGAAACAATTTTAAAAATCTTCTTCTCAAGAGCCACTGGGCCAGAAAAGCTGAAACTTACATTGAAGCATCCTGGGGTAGTGTAGATTCTTATTTGTTCACATCATGACCCCTGCGGATTGGGCGGGGCCACAATAGGGAATCAAAGTTTTACATAGAAATACAGTATCTTCGTCTCAAGAACCACTGCACCAGAAAAGCTGAAACTTATTTAGAAGTATCCTTGGGTAGTGTAAATTCTAAATTGTTCAAATCGTGACCCCCAAGGGTTGGGCAGGGCGACAATAGGGAATCAAAGTTTTATATAGAAATATATAGGAAAAAACTTTTAAAATCTTCTTCTCAAGAGCCACTGGACCAGAAACGCTGAAACTTATGGGGAAGCATCCTGGGGTAGTGTAGATTTTAATTTGTAAAAATTGTGACTCGGGGGGGGGGGGGGGGGGGGGTGTAGGGTGAGGCCACAGTAGGTATTACAAGGGGGAAGATTCAGAAACAATGGATTAATAATATTTTACTTGTGTCATTCCTGAAATTGTAGGTATGCAAGAGTTGAAGTCCCTCTCCACATTGTCCCCAGCTCTGGTCTGGGTAAAGCCTGTCTGGAATCTCTCATAGAACTCCCCAAGATTCTTTGTCAAGAGGAGGAAGAAGCTTACAAAAAGGCTGAGGCCGACCAGGACCTAGATCTGATCAGCAAACTCAAAAACTCCTCAGGTCAGTAAAATATACAGCAAACCAGGACCTAGATCTCATCAGCAAACTCAAAAAATCCTCGATACATCCTCAATAAAATACTTAGATGTTGCATGAATTTGATCCTGTAAATTTAATTTCTGGTAGTTAAATGGAGTTGTCTCTCTTTGTCCTGTTACGGTTAAAAAATTCTGACAAAATTAAAAAAAAAAGATTTTTTTCTCTTGCAGTTTTTACAAAATCACTGTGCCATATCATGGAAGTAATGCATGGACCATTAATACAGTCTTTAGAAAGTCGCTTAGAGCAGAACAACGCAAAGATCGCCGAGTTAGAAAAGAGAGAAGCGGAAATCCAAAGACTCCTTGATAGCAGCTAGTTATTTTACAATTGTTGTTTAAAGTTATTTGTTTGTTATACATGTGAGATATATAATGCCCGTGTTTCTTGTAAATAATAAAATGTATGTTACGAGACCTATTACATTTTTATTCATAAAATATGCAAATATTTTTAACATGTATATGTTCAGCCACGAGTATTTGGAATTGAACAAGAACTATACTTCTCATATGTAATATCCGAAGTGTATGGTTCTGTATAATATAAATTCCTAATAGTACTATCCGAGTAATACCAGAAGCTATAGCATTGAGATCAATAAAGATAATCGGAAACCCACGGTCGGTTTACCTACAGTAAGAGAAGCGACACAGACGATGGGTTTCCAACGATGCCATGTTAAAGATGAGGAATGGAAACAACTTTGTTTTTATAATTCCAAGTCTGGCCGTCCGGATGAACAATTTTAGTATCGGTGCCTAGTGATAGTGAATCTAATAACTCGTTGATCTGAATAGTCAGGGGCATAACTTAAACAAGTTATTTTCAAAAATAACTCAAATGAGTTATTTTTTTGTCTCAATGAGTTACTTCTCTTTGCTATGACCTACTTTTTTCCAACCTTAATAACTCAAACACGTTATTTTTCCAAAATAGCTTCAATAAATAAATAACTTGTTTAAGTTATTTTGTGTCATTTCTCCCTAACTTCACACCCCGTGCACCAAAGGATTTTGCTCGTGCACCAAGACAAAAACAAATGTTTGACTAAATATAAACATTGCTCAATGCAGAAAAAGTGTTCAAAGTCTTGGGAAAAGTGGGGAATTTTTTTTATTAATGATTAAAATTGGACATATACACCATGTGGACCACAAAATAAGGAGTAAAATGCTGTTTATCTCCACCTCCTCACCAATTCTCCATTGGAGTCGGTGAACTCCATCTAGCATTACATAATGGAATCCCAAAATGCAATGCAAAATGGCAGGAAACATTAAATTTTCAAGAAATCAATGTCCAAGTAGGATATAAAAATAACTTATTTAAGTTATTTTTAAAAAAAAAATTTGTGAGTGAAATAATGTAAAATAACTCATTTGAGTTATTTTTGAAAATAACTTGTTTGAGTTATGCCCCTGACTGATACTGAAAACACTAGTTTTATCTCATTAAAACTTTCTTTGATTTTGCTGTTAAAGTAATCTGCCCTTAGCTACATTTATGACACAAACTTTTTAAACGTACATTGATCGATAATGCTTATTTCAAAAAAAAAAATTTTAGACAAAGATAAGGTAATTGAATATACTATTTAAATGTACTTTACCATGTAAGTAAAAAGCAGCAATACCTGTTCACTTGCTAATAATACTTTTTTTTTTTTTTGGAAAGTATGACAGATGCTTTTTTCATGTTGATATAAATGAAATAGATAAACTAAAATTGCAGGCCCGTAGGAAGCAACATCAGTTGGGGGAGGGGGGGGCAGCCATACGTACACCTTTTTTTATATTTTCCAAATCTCCTATAAATGTTCATTAATCGTTAGTGTTTCTTTAGTTATAAATTTTGTTCAAAGTGAATACAGTGAATTGAAAAAAAAAGTTTAGCACCGGAAAGTGTCTACCATCTTATTTTGTAACAGATGTTTTTGTATACTAGTATTATTATATAGTATTGAATAATTGATATATAAAAAAAAGTTTATCCAATTACCTCACACGTATTAGATAAGGCTGAACATTTCCGCTCTCTTGTATATCTATAAAAGGGATTAATGGAACTTATCGATTCCAAGATCAATTTCTTTTCTGCAACAAACTTGTCGTCAACAGTAATAAAGGACATACCAAAAATCGTTCTTGTTGTATAGGTGCAATATTAATGGGTTGGAATTTGAATTCTGAATGCTCTTCTGACTTATTATTCTGATGTTCCTGACAAGCAGAGACCACCTCTTTAACGGAAGAATTATTTAGTTTACATTTTATATCAGCATAAATTTCCAAGTCGTACTACTTCCATAACACAAAGCAAAATAGAAAAAAAATATTTATATTGTATTCAACAATTATAATACTAGTACATGCCAATGCATGAAAACAGACTGACACCAAGCCGATGCACTATTCATAAACAGAGAAAAGTTCAAGTGCATACATAAGAAAATTAAGAGATTAATAATTAACGAACATATGTATTTTATAGTGTCTTTTATCCAATGAGTTCTTGCATGCGCTAAACCAACTTGCATTTCCAATCTCCCATGATCCTGCGCATAATGATACATAGTATTATTTTTCCTTATAACGTTTTTATCTTTTTTATTACATTTAGACAAAAATCCTTAAACATGTATACTTATAAATACAGTCCTTTTAATCAGTGGGCACATACAAGAAGAGAATTTGAGAATAATTATTCCTATATAATTAAATAATAACATTTTTTAATCACTTGCAGCCGCAAAAGCAGCGCCGTATTTGTTAAATTGGTTATTCACTAGTGGTTTGGTGCTCCTTTCATAAGGGGGGTAAATGTCTCTCATGCCATGGTTGGAGTATTTCCACGGATTATGCTTCGGAAATGGTTCCTGTGATACGGCTAACACGTGAGTCGGCGTTCTGTACGGAACATCCGGGGACTTATGCCAATCGGTTGTAGATGTCTGTAATTTAATACTTCCGGTCTCCGGAGCTCTGTGCTTCCGGGCAAAACGCCGGTGCGCTGGCGGATTTTCGGTGGGTTGACCGAGGTACGCTACCCTATAGTTTGTGTTTAAATCAGCGTCCACGGGGTTTCTGGAATGATGCTTTAGAAACGTCTTCTCTGTGTGGTGCAGACGGAGTTCTGGCAGTTTTATTTTACGACCCAATGTTCTTTCATCCTTTCCCTAAAAAATAGCAGAATGCACAATGCAGTACAATTGTTAAGGACAAAAGAGTCCATATATATTGTCATATTCTAAAGGATCATTTCTAAAAAAAAAAAAAAAAAATAAATAAATAAAAACTTGTATTAGTTTTTATGAATGCATTCTATGTACTGAATGTAACATTTCAATAGCGACTTAAACAAATGTGTATTGAATTAATCCAATTTGTTTTAGTTTTGGCATAAAGTGGGACAAAAAAGTCTGTTTCTAAAAGTATAAGATGCAAAACAAATGTTATTTTAGAAATTTGAATGGCCACACAAAAAATCCACAGTCCTTAAACAAAACATTACAATTGTCACAATTTGTAAATATTTAAATGTCTTGACAATAAAATGAGAGATAATCTTTATGCCGATTTTATTTTCTCGTATAACTGAATCAGTCGCCTTTTATTATTCCATGATTGTTTTTCAACCTTTGAAATGGTTCACTGAATAAAAATAATGTAACAAGAAGTTTAAAATTTCATTCTGATATATACTGAGTCTTATTGCATGATCTGCGAAATAAACAATTCCATTTTATAGGGTGTTGTAATGAGATCAATATGAATTTATTGTTTAACTTTTGTAATTTCTATTTGCTTTTTCGAACGATTTTTTTCTTTTCTTATTTAGGTACTTACATTGCCAAAATAGACGCCATGATCTTGAAATGCGTGTCTGTTATTGTGTTCTGAAAATTTGTTTGCGGTCTTGTAGTTAATCTGAAAAAAAAGATAATAAATTTAAATTCACTTGTTGCAATTAATTCAAATGCTTACACTTAATAAACTTAAAAAACATATTTACTTCATTCATCCCTGGCAAGCCGAAGTCTTTGTAGTCTTTTTCATAATAAGGTCGCTTACTCCAAAAATAAGCCATTTTTTGGTTACAAATGCCTTTTTCACATTTAAATCACATAAAAAATAGCACTTTTATAATTTGAAATGAATTATTTCCTTTCATTCAGCACATTTTCACCACAACTGCTATCCGACATAGCAAAGTCCCTTGTCTTATTAGTTACTAAGCATGTTAAAGAGATACCTCAAGTGTGCAGACTTTAAATATTCAGAACTTGATTAAACCGTGACGTTTCGTTCTTCGAAAGAAATCGCAATCAATTGAGGGATATAAGTGGTATCGGACTTAGTAGGTATTTTTCACTGAAATGAGTGACATGTGTAGGTTTTGGCCCACAATTCCCCCCTTATCAGATTGTTTAGGGATAAAGAAAATCTCAATTGCCTCGATACGGCTACTTTAAGCCTGTATTTTTTAGATAAGCTACCAGAGGTTTATGTATAAAGTACATGTACGATAGGTTTTATATAAACTTGCATTTCCAGATTTGTACACGTTCAGTTTGCCTAGTCTGGATAAGATATCACTAATACAAGTGTACAAAATAGGAAAGTAGTTTAAATTTTTTTGAAGAACAAGGCACAGTTTCAGTACAAATTAAGCCCTGCATTTTTCTAAAATATGAAAGTAATATAAGATATTAAAATTCATTCTTCCTGATTCATACGAATTCCATGCAGTAAGAAAAAACAAATCGCTTTTCTCATATGCCCCCTAAATGCTAATTATGACGTTATAACTTGTGCATTTTCCCGTATTTTCTTAAAAGTTGCAAAAGAACGGTCCTCCTTCATGCCATAATCTTTAATGATTTATTGTATTCATCTACTCAACTCTTGTCAAAACCAATATCATAACTTTTTGGGAATATTACATTTTTAGGGCACAATAAAGCCCAAACCCTACCTTCTTCTTTAAAAATGAATATAATTGTCATTTCCCTTTCAAAAGGTGTTTATAATAAATTAATGCTTTCTTTGAGGGTTTTTTTTTCAACTATAGTGGTTGTATTAGTAACTATTAGGAAAATATTAACATATTTATCTTTAGAAGAAATATTGTAGAAGAGAGTGAAAATGAATCAAAAGTCTCTAGCATGCTGGAGTAAGCCAAAATGCACATTTGTTTGTATATCTAAGTAGTTTTGTTGCTTAAAAGCAGGGATAATTTAATGTTAAACTGAGTCAGGTATAAAGTTCATTTCTAATTTGTTAATAAAAAATTACAGATTATTTGCATTATTGAATTATCTCAAAAGATAATTTTTACAATACAATTCTGAATACTATGTTCTGTCTGTAAACCCCTTTTCAAAGTTTCGAAATACAATTGTATGACAGATGAAGAAATGCATATATGGTACATGTGTATATAGAACGAAAATGAATTTAATACGAGCCTAGCATTTTTTATACGTATATTCACATCTAAATCAATATTTTGTCTGTACGAATTCACCGGTTAAATGACGACTATTGTTAACAGACAACGTCTGAATGTTGTCAATTTAATGAATCTCAAAAAGCTGGAATGACAGATCCCCACAATGTTATCAGAAATTCATGCCATATTGCCTAAAAAACTGATTTAACAGTATATTATGTTGTGATCTTCTTTTGAAAGGGTTCATGGTCAAACTTCTTAACCCCACCCCACCCCCCACCCCCCAAACACACACACATACACTTACATACTCTCTAAAATGACACTTTTAAAAACATATTTAAGATATTGAAAAATAAACTTTTTGAACTGTCTGCATCTAAGCAAATTTATTTTAATTCATTTTTTTTTCTTGAATTCAAGATCTAAGGTTTTATGTGATGATAACAAAGACGTACTTTATTTAATCAAACCATTTTATTAATTAAAATAAAAATTGAATTTTTGTATAAAAAAGAGGTTACCCATGTCGATCCTCCTCAGAAACAACATGTATAAGTAAATAGTGAGAAATCCTAAATATAAGAATTAATCTCACCATGACTTCATTATGAAATATCGTAGTGCAATATATATGTACAATCTTCAATCATTTTCGATCAGGAGAAATTTTATTTCTTGCACGATTACTTAATTATTTTTTTAAATGAAAATTTAGACTACATTCATGCATCAACAATTTATATTGTATGTAGTCAGATTGATGATTGTTGTACAATTAAGTACCGCATGGCAGTGATGCTTCTTGCCTACTTTACAGTCTATGACAGTGTAGTAAAATTCTTCAATGTACATTTTCTTCTTCATGTTCGGACACTCAATAGATGTTTTCAAAAATAAATATTAGAGTTTTGTTCTTCCAAATCACTGTCTTTTATCTGCAAATATTATATGATGAGGAATTCAATGATAGGGGAATTTAGCTGTGTATGAAAGTAGATCCGTATTATAGAAGAATTACCACGCTCTAAAAAAAACTACTACATAAAAACAATGGTTTTAACCACCCCCTTTTCTCAAACCAATTCTTAATTTTAAATGCGATGAGAAATATAGATTGATATAATATTTACCCCAATGAGGATGTAAAAGGTGCTGACAATAAAACAAGAAACAGTGAACAATGTCACAAGAGTCAAATCGGGATCAGGTGCCATTGAGGAGCAATCATCCGCCATGCGCCTTATGACAACCGATAAAAAAGCATACTGCAGACCATCATATTTTCACGACACCTCATTTTTGCGACTTATATAGGGATATTCATTTATAAGCGGAACAAAAAATTCACCGATCGTGGGAATTGTTAAATAAGAAAAAAAATTATACGCGAGAATCAAATTTTTGCAAACAGACGCCTGGCATTAAGTTCTTGTGAAGAAAAGATGATTTACAGATAATAGTTAACGAATGCCATGCATATATCTTTTAATATTCTCTCAAATGTTCCTAAACCCATTCTTTTCAAATGCACGTTTTGAATTTAAGATTTTATCTTAGCGACCAATTTTCATTTCTGGAATTTTGCACTTGATAAAATAAAATATCGTTCAATGTCCATAGACTGGATTTATAGATCTGATAGATTTGGTATAGACAATGATGTTGAATATTTTATTTGATTATGATACATGCACCGTAGTTTTATTGCATAACATCCAAACGATATTATAATAAGTACATGTATCTGCATTTGTCGCAAAATGATTATCGATTTGGAAGCAAGTAAATTCGCTGTAATATCAGGAAAAAAGACTGAAATAATAACTCAGCGGGTATAATCATTACTATTTAATCTATAGCCCCACGATAAGAACTCAAATATTTGTCTATGTGTATCAACACATTAAATCCTGTAAAGTTCGAGGACATTAGAAGTATCTAGTTTGAACAGCTCTTTAACCTCAAGAGCAGTCACTGCAATGTAGATCGCCATTTAACAATCATTTCTTTTTTATTTCAAATTTAAAAAAATCGCCCTCATGCAGATTTTGATTGTTGCTTGACCTTTCTCAGCTTTAGAGAGAGGGGGAGGAGGGGGTAGAGGGGGAGGAGAGATTTGAGTTTGGGGTAAACCTTTTGAGCAAAAAACACATCATCAAACATCATACTCTACACTGTTGCTTAGTATTTGTTGCTTACCTCTGTTTTGGACCGGAAGGGAGGTGGTGGAGGGGCTGGTTTGGTTTCCGCTTCCTGTCCAAACGGTGCAGCTAGCATAACGCCAGTACTAGTGAGGCACTTCCGCTCCCCGTACGCGCTCTCAGAACCCCGATGAACAAACTAGAAATAATCAGTTTTCAAATCAAAGGAAGGTTACAAAAATGCTTGTTGAAAATAGTATACCAGTACTCTCATCCGTTCCTTCTGGGGAGGCGGGCTATAATATATATAAAAATCTATTTCTCTGATTAAAAAAATAAGAATGCGTGTCTAAAAATATTTTGAAAAGAAGTTTCTCTTCCTTTCAAGCAGGACGATATGTAGAATCGAACGAGTACTAACTTTTTAAAATTTAATCTTGGGTATGTAAAAATGTACATGTAATCAAATGTAAGTGGTTTCAGTCTCTTCTTTTGCCCCCCCCCCCCCAAAAAAAAGAGCTATAGGAAGAATGGTAAAGAATTTATCTACTTGTAGAAAGTGAAAAATGTGTATGTACATGTATGTAATCAGACTTAATTTAAATGCATTTTCCTACAATCACTGTCAGTGAAATCGCTCTTTGGGTACACACTTAAACAAACCTGTAATATTGATTCTTATGTCGGGTACTCGAAGATTGCATTAAATCCCCCGAAAAGTAACAATAGATCCCTTTAAGGTATAGGATTTGCTGTACAACTTTTTAGGAATTAATTTTGCCATCGTGTACAGGAATTTAATTGATTTATTTTAAATTCAGCACAAGGAACATATCATTTACATTAAAGATTATATAAGTGCTGGATTAGGTACAAGGTTTTATGATTTATTTTGTCTTTCAGAAAGGTGTATAATTTATAAGAAATCTCCACGTGTTTCTTAGCGAATTTAGATTAAAAACATCAACAAAGGCACACTCACAACACTGTTTTCTTTTATGTGTTTAAATTGAGATTTAAAAATCGCTGGGAGAAAAAACTAACTGAAAAAAGTAAAAAGTTATGTAAATAGAAAAAAAGTTCTTAAAATTGATTTCGCTTTCTGGCAATATTTGAGGGTACTTATTACAACCGAGCTTTTCGTGGCCCTATAGTAACGGGACATTATATAGAAATGCCTTAATGTACAATAATGGCCCGGTATAAATAAATACTTATCTCAGTTTTAAATTTTCTCAGGTAGTCTAACTCTTGAGGAGATTCAATTTCGTTGAAGCATCGCGCTAATCTTCTGATAATCCACTATTTATTGATAACGTTATTGGGCAATACTTGCCGAGGGGATATAAAAGGGAGATTATCGTGTTTTGTTGGTTACTGAACAGCATATTGAATCTGCTCCGTATTTGATCCCATCTTAGAGTTCAAGAAGATGGTAAACTAGTCGCTACTTAAGCAATATCGATGGATCGGTATGGATTTTACAAAAAATAAATTAAAAAAAAAAATCTTTATATAAAAAAGATGTAAATTATTTAAATTTTTATCACTCCTTATTTTACTCAGCCCAAATAAGCTTATTTCATCCCATTTAAAGTATATAATATTTAAAAGAAAAATTGACCTTTGAATTCATGCTCCATTAATTATCAAACTTACATATTTTTTATATTAAACCATGTTTTGAATTTTCATTTTTTAAAAACCATTGAAGTTCACATTTACATAGGTCCATTAAAAGGCTTCAATGTATACTCAAAAGTTGAGCTAAATTTTAAATTGGACTTTAAAAGGCACATTGGATGTATTATTAAAGATTTTAACACCGTATTCAATATTAAACAGCAGTATAATTTCTGACGATTAAATTCATGGACTTAACCCTGCTGCGACAATTCAACGCTTTGGATAATATTTTGTAATTAATCACCAGATTAAAACACGAAATACCATATCAGGCACGGATCAGTGGATATATACATGCTTAAGTATCATAGTTTTATGGGTGCATCGTCACTAAAACGATTGCTTAATGTTTGGGGTTCTTTTGATGACAGCAAATATTTCATTTTTTGTAAATTGCACTACCCATAGAAAGATAATTTGTTAAGGGGTATGTTTTGATATGTTTATATGGAAATAATCTATGAGAAAATACAGTTAATTTCATTGTTAAACACAATGATAGATATTGAGTTGTTGTGTTTAATTTTTAGAAGTATAATTGCATAGTAACATAATGATCTGGATTAATTTCTCTAGAAACAGTTTAACTTAGCTTAGATACATTATATGAAGTTTAAGATAAGAAAAAATAAATGTTATAACTTGAAAACCAGACAGCCAAGAGTTTTTTTTCTTAGTATCAAAACATTTCCGTCGACACGTCAATGCTTCAAATGTGTACTTACCCATTTTCCATCCGATGCGGGTGATGGAGCGAACTGTCTTCCTCTTGCCATTTGAGTATTTTTTCCAAAAATATTCTTATTTGAAAACTACAACTGTATTTTCAAAATTATAAATTCACACAGTTAGGTTACATTTTCCTTCCTGATAAGAAAGCTACCCGTAAAACTTTAAGTGAAATACACTTTAAAAATGTTTTTAAGTTTTTAACAATTTAAAACCCACTGTCTCTTATCTTGCCACATTGCGATAATCGCGCTACGTCACAATCGGGAACTCAGTGTTACGCACTCGCAAATAGTCCCATGGCAACTCAGGGCTGATGGGATAAAAACATCAAACGATATGGCATTTCAAAAAATTCCTGTAATTTAACTTTTACTTTAAAAACATTCCGAATAACTGCTGTGGTATATTGTTATTTTCACAAGTACATGTACATTATAAAAAGGCATTGTAAAAATGGTTGTTAACGACGCCACCTTTTAAAGGGATTTAACTCGTAGATATCATTCATTTTGTTCTTTGTAAAATATTAGAGTTGTCTATCTTATCCGACTAACCGTAATTTTTTCAGCACCTTCCACGCACCATACTTAACAGAAGCTCAATATAAACTCCTTTATATAATATAAAAAAACATTCAAGAAAAGATAGTAACGACTTCTTCATTTTATGTCCTGAAGATGTGAATTTAAAAATATTATGAATATTATTGAAATATGTCATGGTTTGAGCCTTGCAATTGTTCACGCTATAATTTATTTTCTGAATGTATCAAATATTCAATTACAGAAAAAATAATAAGTGAAAACCGAGTTTTGTGGATAATTCATTGAATTTGACCTCTTGACCTTGCCATTGGAGTTTGACCCACTTTTACACAAAAATTCCAAACTTTTACTTTGGCTTCGAACTTTTGAATGATTGATGCTAGGACTTTGATACTTCATATATGCGTTCTTTGTGACAAGACGCTTCCATTCGATATCAACAACTTTGACCATTTAACCTTGATCTTGGACTTTGACCTATTTTTAAAACTTTTGAACAGTTAGGGCTTGGACTTTACATATATTTGTAATCCTTGCGACAAAACCTTTCTTAAGAAGCCAACAAATTTGACCTTGACCCTTAAATAAAACTTTTTCCTTTGTCATGGCTTTTGAACAGGTGGTGCTAGAGCTTTCATATTTGACAGTTGTATTTCTTGAGAGGAGACCTTACTTTTGGTACCAACATATTTGATTTGCATTTGAGAAAATTTAACCTTTGCTATGTTTTACAAACACATCTTGTTTCAATTGAAAAATCTTTCATTCTCAAAATTATTGTGGAATCATCAAACAAATGCCAGCCCGTATGTACATCCCGATAAAAGTTTATAATGAAACCTTATTAGTTTTATTTATTTTTTAGACTGATTTATTACAAATAGTAAGTCACTACGGTTTTAAATCAATAAAATGATTGTATTTTCTATACGCATATGCATGTCTATCCAGTATATGCATACTGCATGTACATCATTCAAGTGGCGAAGATGATCCATTTCTCTACTGAAAAAAGCAAGCTAGAATTTGACCAGAAAATACATGAAAAGCACATTTGAAGGAGGGGGGGGGCTCATTGGTACACGAAAATGGCCAATCCTTTGTTTATTTTTAAAGATAAATTTAACTTGCTCTAAATACTGTGAAATCACTAATTTTCGTGGGGGTTTAATTGTCGTTGTTTTCGATGTATGAAAGACCCACAAATTTATGGCCACCAAGAAAGTTTTGAAACTTTCATTTCCATTACTATTAATCATTTTTCATCATCACTAATCATCAACGAAATCAAATCTCCGCAAACCTTGAAAATGTTGACCCCACGAAAATATGTGATTTTACAGTACTAGTATTGCATTAGGTTGGAGCTTGAAACCTGCTGTGGTCTTGTGTAATCTTTCAAATCTCTTCAGGAAATTTCCCCGATTTTTCAGCATCGTGCTATAGTGTATGTTCTTATTACATGTAACACTATTCGAGGAGAGAATAAATGACAGTTTCACGAGATAATTAATAAAATTGAATCGAGTAGCAGTTTGATATGTAGTTTATTAACTTAAATAAAAATGTAAATTAAAAAAATTACAATTTATCAACATATTTACAGATGAGACAACAGAAAGATGTTTATTGATCTTAATTCGAAATCCGTGATCTTCAGGCTTCCATCATTGTCACAGAATGGAACATCTAAACCAAAAAAAAAAAAGAAAGATAAAGAATTAAAAATCAAATAAACATACTTTTTTAATTGAAATAATGAACAAACTTAATATTTACAATTGTGTTTTGGATGCATTATGTCCTTTCCCCCTTTTTTTTCAAAATACAACCTATCTTTTTAAGGTGTGAGAAAAAAATGAGCTTGATAAGAATAAGAAAAGAATATCATATTTCACAAGAAAACATCCGACATGTGCAACATTCAACATGCCAGATGCAACCTATGTTCACATGCAATTTATTTATGTTGACACGCATCTAATTTCTGTCGACATATTGTTGTGTGTGTGTGAGTGTGAGAGAGAGAGAGAGAGAGAGAGAGAGAGAGAGAGATTTTAAATAGATTTTGTCATTTTTGTGTACAGTTCACCATCGGTTATAGATACCTTGCCGCTTACTTCTTGGTTTCCCGCGGACACTTGCAGCGCTCATTAACGGGAACGTCCTTTAAAGCAGTCTCTATGTGGTTCCCACAACCTATAAATATATGTCAGCTATATAATCATCTTCGGAAAATTCTCCATTCTTACAGATTAACCTTAAAATTAGCAGAAAAATACGTAAACTATATAATTCTTGCACTTCATTGCATTAAAAAGGTGCATGCATCTGTTGGTCTTGGTGTACACTTCCTATATATGAACATTAATTCAGTACGATCAATTACCTACTTATGGAAATTGCATACTTCTATACCTAAATGTTACAGTTGAAATTTGGTATCTTAAACACTAAAAACTCGAATATCATGAACATGTCGCAATCACTCTCTTTATGTATTCTAACCGTGATATTTCGAATTCTCGAATATTTCAATTTCTTTTTTCGGTTCATTGGGTTCGAAATAACGAGGTTTTACTGTATGTACAACACTTTATCCTTATTTTGAAGTTAATTATTTTTGAATAATTTAAAATATCCCAGTAGGTCAGATTTGCCTGCCCAGAAGAAATGGAAACAGTTTCTTCTGTTGAAGTCAAATATGATACCGGGGGTATTTCTTTTTTTTTATCTATATATATAGCTATACTTTTAGTACCATTACTACACTTGGCACTTGGCATGTATTATTGTTGATATATCCTATGTATCTTGTATCTTATTATATAAAGAAGTTTCTTTTGAGATCTTTTTAACGTATGTAGAAAAATACCAGTATATATACACATGTAATTATTCCTGGTAACTTTACGACTTAACTATTCTTAAAGATGAATGGAGTTGGAAGTAATATCAAATGGATTTTAACAAGATGACATAAGATTTAACTAAAGATATTGTGACGTTCATGTTCATAGGGAAGGTCAAGAAAAACTAGAAATATGTCCATAGGATATGAATGCTCCGCCGAGGGTATATTAGTAATGCAACATGAAAATTTGTATTAGTGTATGACATTTGATCAGAATATCTTGAATAATGATGCAGTTTAATTGCTTACATCAGTATGTATCAGCATATAAAGTTTTACACTAATTTCAGAAAAGTGAGGTCAAGGTCAAAGAAAGGCCAAGGTCAAAAATATTGATGCATTTGAAAAGCTCTCATCAGCGACATGTATCAGCATATGAAGTTGAAAAAAATATCATAAATGGTTTCTCTAAGACTGACTTATTCACAATTTGATAAAAGTGAGGTCAAGGTCAAATGAAAGGTCAATGTCAAAAATGTTTATGCAGTTGAATTGCTTACTACAGTATGTATCTGCATATGAAGTTTGACACTAATTTAGGAAAAGTGAAGTCAAGGTCAAAGTAAAGGTCAAGGTAAAAAAAAATGAAGCAGTTTGATAGCTCTCATCAGAATGTATCAGCATATGAATTTCATAAAAAATATCTTGGAAGGTTTCTTTAAAACTGAGCTAAACACTAATTTAAGAAAAATGTGGTCAAGGTCAAAGGAAAGGTCAAGGTCAAAAATGGTGATGCAGTTGAATAGCTTACTTCAGTATGTATCAACATATGAAGTTTGATAAATTTTTTTTATCTTTAAAATAAATAAACACTAATTCAAAAAAAGTAGCCAATTTAATAAAGGTAAAAAAATGTTGATGCAGTTGCATAGCTCTCATCAATATCTATCAGCATATGAAGTTTGACGAAAATACCTTGGATAGTTTCTTTGCAACTGAGCTTTGAACTGAGCTAAACGCAAAGTGTGACGGAAAGACAGGAGGACGGAAGGACGGAAGACGGACATGACAAACATTATATGCCCTGGCCTTATTCATGGCGTAGCATAAAAATATGACATACGTGTAGTTTCATTTCTACATCATTTTGTATCAGTGAGTATGGACCGTGTGATGAAGTTTGATTAAAATATAGATGGAGAAGTTCAATGAAAATAACTTCGAGTTTCTTTGAAACTAACGATCGAAAACGCAAAACAAGGAAATATTGTGGTCAAGGTCATACGGAAGGTCGAGATATGAAATCACCTTTGAAAAATTTTTACTTTTGTAAATAAATTTTATTTACTAATAGTTTAATAAAATTAAAAATATTTTACTTGCAGCTTCTTTAAACTTTATAATCCCTCCGTTACCGTAGTTTAATTTCAATTTTACGAAAATGGTTTTCCAAAACAATTCAAATTTGTAGTTCAAATGCACATTATTTCAGCATATTTTATTGGACAAAATTTGAGAGCATTACCTTTACTCTTGCTAATGGTCATTATACCACTGAGAGTTATCTTCCTTTTCAAAGGATCAGTGAACCGTCATGAAAAATGAGTTGGAACCAAACTCAGGGTAAGAAAGTAACGAGACTCTTACAATAATGATAAGATGCCCGTATCGATAGATCCGATGTGTATATTGTTTTTGTCCAAGGCCAATGACCTTGTGACCGTGACTGTGACCTATATGTAAAAATACTTTAACCTTCGCCATAACTTTTGAACCAAAAGAGATAGAGACTTCATATTTGGTATGCATACTCCACTAATAAAGTTTTTTTTTAAATGACACCAAGGTCAATGTCCTTGTGACCTTGACTGTGGCCTATATGCTAAAAATAACTTTTTCGAACTTTGTTGCCGCTGGGCGCATAGTGTTACACAAACACATCTTGTTATCTTGAATGGTTTCTGTGAAACTGAGGTAAACACTAGGTGTCACGGACAGACAGACGGAAGGACCGAATACAAACACTATCATCGTAGCGAGCCATAGGTCTATTCTGTTTCCACACGGCCGCTTTTGTGAAAATAGAAACTCGGCTTGCGAAGCTATGACTGAGCAATATCATGAAGGGACACAAGAAAAAGACACAGACCAGGAAAAACACAGATTAAATATTTCAGAATCCACGACTCATTATAATGCATATGATTATTGACAAGATTAATATGAGCGCACCTTTAAACATCAAAAAATGGTTATGCAGAATGCTACACCTGGGAAATCAAAAAGTGCCTCTGATGAATTTTTAACCATGGCTCATTAAATTTGGATTTGATAAAACGCCGGGGAAAATGATATATGATGCACTTTTACCCCCTTGTGCAGGCAAAAAATGGAACCTAAATGACATAATTATTTGTACCTATTATATGCTATTCCTAGGTTGTGCTCATAAAATAAAGTTCTAAAAAAACAGTTTGTTCACAAAGGGCTAGCGAAAATAATTCACTTAATTTATCCATAAATCAATGTTTGCCAGTATGATGCCAGATCCTTATTTTTGATCGATTGATTGAAGCTTTTGATTTGATAATTTCCACTCATTTTTGAGACCTCACTATACATGCTATATACTAAATATAGCGATGTTTCAGGGTTTTACTCGACACTCAGAGCTATTGTTTTTATAGAAAACGGAGACATAATGTTTTGTCCTGTCTGTCCTTTCCTTTGTTTTCAGTTTTTAGTAAACTTATTAAAGTATGCATTGGCATGCAAATTTGACTACAGACCTGTGTGTTCTAAAATGGTACCATTGCCCTTTATATTTCAAATATACACCGTCTAAAAACCCCGACTTCATCTATTTGTATACCGGATACGGATCACACATCATACATGTAATGTATATAAAGGGTCTCACATGATTTGTGGTTGGATATGATTTTTATCCAACTCGTTGTGCTTTTTTTCTATCTCCAAGCCTTGGCAAGGGAATAAAACACACACAATGAATTGGATTAAAATTAAAATTATATTCAACCACAAATCAAGCAAAACTCGTTGTGACATCAGAACTGTGGAATATCAAAAAGATATCCAAGGGATAAAGGGGTCACATGGGATAAAATAACGTAAATGAACTAAATCGGCATTCTACCTGCATATAGATAACAATTTGGTCGATGATACAACAGTTGAACAACATCGTTACAACTACTGAAATTTCGTATAATCACAAAGAATATCGGAGAGTATATATATATCACAACTTGGCCATATTGATCTTTTTTTTTTTATAAATAAACATAGAAAAATTCTATTCTGTAAAAGTTGAGTAATAATCGAGAAATTTTAAAGCGTAAATTCCTGAATCCAGGTTTCTAGAAAATATATTCCGGAGACTTAGTTGTTAGTTTGCATTTATCATATATGGTCAGGGAAAGATTCAAATACGAAACAGGAGCAAAGTCCATCTTTTTTTCAATCTCACTGGAATATATATACGCAGTAGTCAATATATGAACAAAAATAAGTACATGTATTGTTAATTTATAAAATATTGTCGATATACTAGTATCTGAATGTTGAATTAAAGGAACAACAATAGTTTTCTTCTCATGTGGAAGTTTATAAATACTGTTTCATAAATTTAATTCAAATTAGGTCTTTGATCTGCTCCAACTAGATCGCTATACACAAAGCTTTGTGAAGCGGTCTAATGGTATTTGAACATGCAAACAAAATTGTTAGAGATCAGTTTAAATTGATAAATTTTAAACTTTAACTGTTTAATATAATAATTTGACTGTTTCAGAAGAATATAAACCGGTCAGCTAATAAAGGAGCACGATTAGTGCCCATTGGAATTTCATCAGTTTGTTGGAACTTGGTCTCTGGTGACTACATAAATGTTGTCAATGAGAAACTCCAGCATCCTTTTAATACCAATATTGTAAAATAAATCTTATCCCAATTCATTATAATTTTTGCAATGCAGAAAGTAATTTTCTTTACTATCATTAAAACCCCCCCACAGTATTTGAAAGATTTTAGTTGAACAGATCGGATTTCAGGGCACTTGCATTGTGTCTCTCTCGATTAGAGTTAAATTGACCTTTCTGTCTCTTTAGAAAAATACATAAACATGTATTTCGTCTAAGACATAAATATTCTTGAAAAAAATATATTTTCATTATACTTATTTTTTCTTTTTGTAAACCATTCTGAGTTTCGTTGCTTAAGTCACTTACAAACTGATTTAATATAGTCACGGCTATACTACTAATATTTAATTCAATATTTTTACGTGAAGGGGGATGCTGGTTAAAACAACGTTGATTTTTCAATTAATTTACGGTTGATCTGGCGTTTTTACCTCCCTAGTTAAATAAAATATAATAAATGAAATATAATTTTTCTTTACCTGCCCAGGTTGATTTTCCACACCCTCCACATTTTGTTTTAAAACACATGGCGATGAATCAATGATCAACTATATGAAGATTTTCTAAGGAATTGTCTCTCTTCAAATGATCGAAGTCTTATAATCCAACCTATACTCTGATCAATGGTCACAACTAATCACAACATGACGGCTCTGACACAATGTTTATACCCTCAGCTGTTCCGCTGAGTGTCAGTCAACCTTGTTAACATATAAATATCTCGATACTCGGAAACAAACGTGACGAGTAGTTTAATAGGAATGCTCTAGGTAACCTTGAACTCAATTCAGAAAAAAAGAACAATTAACTTTGCTAATCAATATAATGCCCAAGATCGCTCAAGCAGAAATGTCTGATTTCAAGTTTATTGGAGGAATCAATTACAAAATTAATTCTGCATCAACATATGAAATGCAGTTGTCACGTTTCGAATTTAAAGTGCACGTATGATGCCAGTACTAAATTAAAGTAGAGATTTTTCGATACTTTCAGATAACAATATTTAAATACATGTAATCGTGAAGCAATGGTAAGCACTAAATAAATATCATAAAATATATAGATATTTGCATTGTCATTGCCGAAGTCTAATAATAGAATCTGTTCTTTTTAGATTCAGAGGGATTTTCAGCTATTAAATTTCCATGTCAGATAACGAAAGTATTACCTCGGACCACCTCCCCCTTAAAAAAATCCATGTACATTTGAAGAAAATTTACTCTAAAAAAGTGTCATCTGAAATGATTTTAGAATTGGTTCAGTGTTAACGTTTTATACTATCTTCTTTGATTGATTGATTGATATTTATTTATTTACTTTGCTTTCCTGGTCGAAGTTTGTCCGTCAATCTATTAATTTAATTTTTAAAAAAAAACTTCATCTTCAGAACCACTTGGCCAAGTTCAACCAAACCAGGATTGTAGATTCTTTTGATGAATTTAATAAAAGCATATACCTATATGACAAGTATTCTATGTTGAAAATAACCTCAATACATTACTCCCAAAATATGTATAATGTGTAGAATTTCCTCAATGCACACGCATCTTCTTCAAGTACATGTAGTACAAAACCGTGTTCTATGAAGTTTGGTGGGGTAATAATTTAAAGATTCGAAATTCTACTTGAAAAGAATAAACATGTATAGGGGAAAGAAATCTTGAACATCTTTTCTATTAAGAATAAGAGGAAAAGGGGGAAAGGCAAACCACAAACAACAACACGGGGCGAACTTTTGAAGAACTCAAAAACATGAATCTAGCCTGGGAACATCGCCTCAAGCCACGGTCCGGATTCCGCATACAGCTCTCTCCAGAATGAAAGAGGATAGTACATTTTGGTCGGGGTTTGCGACGATGGCCTGGGAAGGGATGAAATGATAGCCTAGAACAAAGAAGAATGGAAATCCCTAGTCCTTGACCTATGTGCCTCTGTGTGCAACAAGGACTGGGTAGGTAGGTAAGTCATATCTTTGCGCAAGCAACCTCGGATAGGGCTGATACAATTTTGAGTCAAGGCACAAACACAGCGTCATACACTAAGATATTAGTTTTACATACTAAGGCCACACCAGTTTAAGTTTTTGGCTCGTCAGTCCCGCGCATTTAAACAAGCTATGCAAGTAATATTTTTTTATTTAAATTTTTCGCACCCGGAATATTCTGTTCCATTTCCGCTCCATTTTTCGCATTTTGCATAACTCTACAAATCAGAAAACAAGTAGAAACCAGAAGTCTCTGTCGAGACTGTAGCTCTACTGGTATGTACTTATCAAAAACCATTGCACTATTTTATGTATCTTTGTGTAGTCTACTTGTTTGCCAACTTATTTTGAAATCAAACTAGAACTGTAGAAGGAGTAGCGTTTTTAAGGAATTTCACAGAAAATTCTATTTTTAGTAACCATGGTAACACCGTTCATCGAAATCAGAAACCGATGCACTATTCTATGTATCTTAGGGTAGTCTACCTGTGTGCCAAGTTATACTGAAATCGGACCAAAACTGTAGAAGGAGTAGCGTTTTTAAAGAATTTCACAGAAAATTCTATTTTTAGTAACCATGGCAACACCGTTCATCGAAATCAAAAACCGATGCACTATTCTATGTATCTTAGTGTAGTCTACTTGTGTGCCAAGTTATATTGAAATCAGACCAAAACTGTAGAAGAAGTAGCATTTTTAAGGAATTTCACAGAAAATTCTATTTTTAGTAACCATGGCAACACCGTTCATCGAAATCAAAAACCGATGCACTATTCTATGTATCTTAGTGTAGTCTACTTGTGTGCCAAGTTATATTGAAATCAGACCAAAACTGTAGAAGAAGTAGCGTTTTTAAGGAATTTCACAGAAAATTCTATTTTTAGTAACCATGGCAACATCGTTCATCGAAATTAAAAACCGATGCACTATTCTATGTATCTTTGTGTAGTCTACTTGTGTGCCAATTTATTTTGAAATCAAACTAGAACTGTAGAAGGAGTAGCGTTTTTAAGGAATTTCACAGAAAATTCTATTTTTAGTAACCATGGTAACACCGTTCATCGAAATCAGAAACCGATGCACTATTCTATGTATCTTAGGGTAGTCTACCTGTGTGCCAAGTTATACTGAAATCGGACCAAAACTGTAGAAGGAGTAGCGTTTTTAAAGAATTTCACAGAAAATTCTATTTTTAGTAACCATGGCAACACCGTTCATCGAAATCAAAAACCGATGCACTATTCTATGTATCTTAGTGTAGTCTACTTGTGTGCCAAGTTATATTGAAATCAGACCAAAACTGTAGAAGAAGTAGCATTTTTAAGGAATTTCACAGAAAATTCTATTTTTAGTAACCATGGCAACACCGTTCATCGAAATCAAAAACCGATGCACTATTCTATGTATCTTAGTGTAGTCTACTTGTGTGCCAAGTTATATTGAAATCAGACCAAAACTGTAGAAGAAGTAGCGTTTTTAAGGAATTTCACAGAAAATTCTATTTTTAGTAACCATGGCAACATCGTTCATCGAAATTAAAAACCGATGCACTATTCTATGTATCTTTGTGTAGTCTACTTGTGTGCCAATTTATTTTGAAATCAAACTAGAACTGTAGAAGGAGTAGCGTTTTTAAGGAATTTCACAGAAAATTCTATTTTTAGTAACCATGGCAACACCATTCATCGAAATTAAAAACCGATGCACTATTCTATGTATCTTAGTGTAGCCTACTTGTGTGCCAAGTAATATTGAAATCAGACGAAAACTGTAGAAGGAGTAGCGTTTTAAAGGAATTTCACAGAAAATTCTATTTTTAGTAACCATGGCAACTCCGTTCATCGAAATAAAAAATCGATGCACTATTCTATGTATCTTAGTGTAGTCTAAATAGCGTTTTAAAGGAATTTCACAGAAAATTCTATTTTTAGTAACCATGGCAACACCGTTCATCGAAATCAAAAACCGATGCACTATTCTATGTATCTTAGTGTAGTCTACTTGTGTGCCAAAGTATATTGAAATCAGAACAAAACTGTGGAAGGAGTAGCGTTTTAAAGGAATTTCACAGAAAATTCTATTTTTAGTAACCATGGCAACACCGTTCATCGAAATCAAAAACCCATGCACTATTCTATGTATCTTAGTGTAGTCTACTTGTGTGCCAAGTTATATTGAAATCAGACTAAAATTGTAGGAGGAGTAGCGTTTTGAAAAATTGTTTACAGACAGACGGACAGACAGACGGACAGACGGACAGACAGACAGACAGACAGACAGACGGACGGACGCCGGACGCATTACTATCGCATAAGCTCTTCTGGTCTTTGACCAGTAGAGCTAAAAATGTAATCGTCCGCTCAATTTTTTTCATGTTCCGCCTAAAAATATTGCTTTCAAAAAAGTAATTATAATTTAATTCAATCGGTGTGGTCCAGATATGAAAAAAATACAGGGGTAAAAAATCTTTTTCTCATATACCAAAAAAATGTGTTCCATTTTCAATGATCGTTTTTTTCTGTTGGAGGGTTTAACAAAAAATATTTTTCTGGGTAAATATGGGGTTGTTTATTTAAACCCCGCTTTTCCCATTGTGTTTGGCTATAGGACTTAAGAAAATGTAATCACGTCAGTAAGATTGCATGCCATGATGGATACAAGTTTGTATACATGTATGTAGCATTTAATGAAACATATGGGGATAAGGAACAGTACATATTCAATCTCAGAAGTCCATTAAGCAATACAAATTTTTTAGCAGAGCAAACAGGGACATCTAAAGGGAGTGAGCATCCCCTGCCAACTTGTCACATTTGCTGTATGCTCCTTGTCGTGATCGGGAAATTACGGAAAAATCCGTCGAAAAGTAAGTGTGTAATAATGGCTCAACAATTAAAATGAAAAAAAAACTTGATGATACTAGTAAATTGCATTTGCTGACAAGGCAGTGGCGTAGCTAGCGAATTATTAACTGTTGACTTTAAGGGTTTTATACATGAAAACTACCTTAAAATAGTTCAGTTTTTACAATCGTAGTTCTTCTATACTAGATATTATCAAAAACTTGCCGAGTTTTGACAAAACTAACAACTCCCCAAATTTCCTTTTTCTAAAAGCATTTCTTGTTTTCATGAAATATGTCATTTTTAAAACGCGAAATGAAATTCTATATAGGTATATCAACACAAAAACTTGAATATTCTCCATATGTTAACATGTTAAAAATCAATTGATTTGAAATAACATGTAAAATAAAGGTACAACGCAGTTACCTTTGGTTTAAAGAAATTATTAGGGGAATTAGCTTGTAAATAACATAGTTTGGTATTATTTGCTTTTACTTGAATTCACACAATTATGAAATTCGTCCTCGAAATTGGCAATCAGAAGTTGGACGGTTATTAAATTCTAAAAAAAAAAAATTAACTATATGTACGCTGTATCAAAAATCTAAGATAGAAGTTGAATATATTCTTTTAATCTATTTAGCAGGTAAGGATTAAAAATATCTTTTAACATAACTTATTTTATTTTAATCTTTTATTGAACTTACGACATTTTTTTCTTTATTTTTTATTTTTGGTGAAAAATCTGTGTATTCATTTGCGTTTTTGCGTAAAGGGCGCTACGCCACTGCAAGGTAATTGCATCGATCATAGAACTTACGAAATGATGATTTAAAACGAGAATGCTGATTTTCTTGTTCCATCAACTTGTTTGTCAATAACTTACCTCGTTTTATAAATTGCTAATAACTATCTATATAAAGCAAGCTCTTGCGTATCGCATCACCAGACCATTATAAGAAAAACAATTATTGTTGTTTTTGAGGTCAATATAATGATTAAACCATCTTTAAAGTGCAAAATTAAACTTGCCCTTCGGACTCTGTGAACATTGTACTCCTCAAGTGACCAAATTGTACTGACCCAAAACAGCAATAATTGCATAATATGAGGAGGGTAATGTACTTTACACATCAAAGCAAAAATGACGTGATTTATAATAACAGCATATTATATATGTTCACATATTGTTCGACACCTTCGATATATGCAGAAAAGATGATGCAATATATAGCGCACCTGTTTTTTAAAACTGCTTTATAAATACAGAGACTCTGGTTATCTCACTTTACTTTGTCTTGTGATATTTAAAGTTTATTGATCTCTTTTACTGTTTAAAGCGATTGCGAAATAACAACTCCTGTACATGCTGCACAAGTAAGGTAAACCGAAAGGATTAAATCCGGAAGTACTGATTGAATGTTCAAAGGGAAAGCAAAATGAGTGGAGAAAACAATGTCTTCGGAGAACGGGATGATTTGAGCAGAACGCTTCTTCATTTAGCCGCAGAAAAGAACGAGGTTGACAAAATTGAGGAATTACTCTGTAGTGGATGTACTGATGATGTTAATGCCCAAGACGCCCGAGGTCGGACACCTTTACACTCCCTGTTTGATGGGGATGTCATTGAAGACATGGGCAAGCTGAAGAAGGCAATGTCAGTTCTCTTAGAATACGGTGCCAGCGTGAATGCCAAGGATAAATTTCAAGATACGCCACTTCATGTTGTGTTTTATAGCTACTACGATCTCATACCAGAGATCATCAGGTTTTTATTGAAGAAAACAAAAGAAAAATTTGATATGAAGTCTCAGAATAACGTTGGGTACACAGTTTTCTACAAATGCATGTGTGGATTTCCTGACAGTCTCAGAGAAAAGGACATCTACCAAAATATAATCCAGCAGATGGAGTCATTAATCAACGACTTCGTGAATGAAAAAATATGCCAACCTTGTCCAGTTCAAGATCTGCTGAATATGAAAGATAAATTCGGCTTCACAGCTTTTTATATATATACCATGAATGTTGATAATAATATTGAAACAATCAAAAGAATGATTCAGTTAGGCGCAGATGTCAACACAAGGTCAAATATAGGGGTCACACCACTGATGGATGTTGTTTTGAACAGAGTGACCCCAATAGTCGAGGTTCTGCTTCAGTCAGGTGCAGACGTCAACAACAAAGACATATTTGGTCAAACAGCTCTTTTCAGGGTGCTCACCAAAGATTGCTTCGACTTGCTGCAGCAATATGGAGCAGATTTTACGATCCTAGACAAATATGGGCGATCGCCAATAACAGACGTGTTTATGTACACACCCGAGGATACCCCAAGAAGCGGCTTAGTAATATCAGACGTAGCAACAAACCAGCAGCCTCTGTTCGAGTTGTTTTTAAAGAATGGCGTTAGTGTACACGACATAGACATGTTTGGTTCCTCTCTTCTTCATTATGCAGCATGGTATGGTGCCCCCATAATGGCAATGGCTCTCATTGAACATGGTTTGCCACTAACTACATTTGATAATCAAGGCGTCTCTCCAACCGAATTGGCTCTCAGAGTCGGAAATTATGACCTTGTCAATATGCTGTCTGGTAAAACAGACGAAGTTGATATCGAGGACCCTGTCAGAAGACATTATGTGAACTTGTTGATATACCACGAAGATGTTGCAAATATTGATCAAGTTTTGCACGAACATGCGAGTTTTCAAGAAAATCCTCGTGAACTGCTTCAAAACTTGATCAATTCGCCCAGACTTGGTCTTGCTTATCGAGAATTCGAGGCACGAGAACTTAAAGACGAAATTTTAAAACTGATGAACAAAATTGCCGAATCGATAAGTAACATCGACCCTATGTTTAGATGTACAGTTTTCCCCACCGGCAGTTCAGAAGATGGAAGTAAAATTGGAGAGGCTGATGAATTTGACTTTACATTTTGTCTGGATTTCTTCTCAGAAGAATGCATGCCTCACCAAGAGGATGATACACTAAACAGTGGCTTTGCAACCTTGAAGGTAAAATCATTCCACAAATCGCACCCTCTTGCAAAGTATACAACAGATGGGTATATCATTGAATCGTATCTTGTGCGAGACACGTTTCAAGATCTTTTTACAAAAGCTGTCAATACACCGGAAGTATGGAACCAGAATTGTTTTTATTTTGACGGACTTTTAAAATTTCCTATGGATAAACCGATCCTCAATATGGAAGTACATTGGTGTGGACGAATAATGAAAAGCATTGATATCGGTATCGATGTGGTTCCTGCTGTACGAACATGGACCTGGATACCAAAAGAATTGGAAACCATTGACCGAAAGCTACCTTCGCCTCAACTGTCCTCAGAGGATGAATGTTTCCTCTTGTTTCAACCGCCAGAGGAACGCGACAAACAAAAGAGAAGATATCTGAGAATATCAAGGTTCCGCAGCGAGTTGAAGTTTCTGAAAAATCTTCCTGTGACCTTCCTTGAGAGTTATGCTGCTGCTAAGGTACTGATAAGTGATCGATTTTGTCCACGGTTATTATTTTCTGAAGATTTAAATATAAAGGAATTATTTTGTACACAAACCTCAGGAATAAATAGTTCGACCGAAGATATGAATGAAGAAATGATGTCTGAAGGGGATGATACCAATGAGGAACACGGGTTTGATGCACAACTTTTACAGCGGGGAACTGTGGAATCCCAGAGCGATGAGCAGTCAGTAAATTCAGATTCAGGTGATGCTGAAACGTGTTCAGATATCATTGAAGGGACAATATTGTTGAAACATGGTGCCGTGTGCGACCTTTCCTCCTGTATTATCGAGGTTGACCAGAGTTTGCGAGCCAACAGGTTATTTGTACCAAAGGATATTTTGAAATTAAATGTTTCAAATCTTTCGTTTTATCTAAAAAACGGTGCGTTGCAAGCTAGAAAATGCGTAGTGGCCAGATCAATCGAAAAGGATGGCAGCAAATGGTTTCAATTTGGACCATCGTCAAATGTTCCTAAAAAGGAAACTATAGACGCAGTTATAATGGATAGCTTATCTAGAGAAGAAAATCAAAATCTCACAATCGCCGAATGGCTGACTCTTACTTTTCCATCCGTCAGGCAATCTGTCGAGGATGACATGGAAGAAAATACCGAGATGGAGGAAAGCAATGACATGGACCAAAATTTTATGGAAGACGGCAGAGAGGAAAACACAAATCAAAATGCTTCATCTGACGATAGAATCGGTTCGAACACCGCCCCCAGAAGTGACACGGACATTTTAGATCAATCCTGGGAGGGCGGGGAGATTGTGGATGGATACGATACCATCTCCAGTTACATGCTGAAAAACTGTCTTTTTTATGTTGCGGATGATCTTAAAGATGTTTCAGATATTAATCAATTAGATTTAACAATCAAACTTTTTGAAAAACTAGGCCAATGTGCAGAAGCAGAAAGACTTAATTCTTTTTTCCTACCCTACTTAGATGTTTTCACCTTCGCAAATGAGCATATTAAAATGATACCCGACGACGAAATCATAGAAAGCACTAAAATTCAATGCAATCGAATAAAGCTATTTAGTGAAGTTATTCTCGGAATTTTGAGATAGAAAATCTTTTTTTGCTAAATCAATTTCGCTGTGAATTTATACATCCATATTTAATTTTAATTGATTAAAATAACTATAGTGTATATTACAAAGATATTTACAGTAGTGGAGGAAAAACTTCAAGGGTACTGTTCAACAATATATTCGAGAAGTAGTGTAAATCAAGATGTGGATACTAAAACATTCCAAGGAACTTTTGGAACATTTGAAATCACAAATTTTAATTATACCAAATCAACAACATAAAAACTTACTTCTCAACTTTATATACAACTATTCCTCTCGATAAATTAAAGTCCAAGTTTTCTGGCACCATTTACAGCTGCTTTTCAATAAAAATGGAACTCGTAAATTTACTTACCTTGTCATTAATCATTTGCAAAATAACTTTGTTAAAAAATTCTGAATGCACACACAAGTACTCCGAAGTAGATATTATAAACTTTAAGTTGATCGAGTTTCTGATTAACAAGATCTATATGGTTTTGAAGACCAACAATCAGTTGGAATTCTTATGGGTGCCAATTGCGCCCCTTATAAGTAGACCTTTTTTGTATTCATCTGAATCATAATTTGTTCAACGTATTGAACATTTCGTCGTATTGTCAATAAAAAAATAATTATTTCCATCCTTATGTCGACACGATACCAAAACATCAGAGGTGGGATCAAGTGCCATGGAGGAGTGAGCATCCCGAGCCGACCGGTGACAACCGCCGTGTGCTCTTTGTCATGATCGGGAAATAATTTAATTCTACGTCACATTGACAAAAGTGCGTCAAAAACGTATGAATTCGCCAAAAAAAAAAAAACATTCAATTTTTGTACAAATTGAAGTAATTTTTTTCTACACCAAATAAATAAAAATTCAATTATAAGGAATGAATTTAATAACTTCCCATTTTATACGGTATACACTGGGTTGGAACAGTTTACGCTTTTTTATAAACCGCTTCGCCCCAACCCAGTTTATACGGTATAAAATGGGAACCTATTAAATTCATTCTTTAAATGATTTAATTTTGTTTGTATTCTAGCCTCCCATTGGCTGATTTCCAAAAAGGAACGCAAATTATTCTGTATAATCTGGTTTGGTATGGGGACACACACCCTTGACAACCAGCTATAAATCATCTGTATCCATGCAATCCCCTCATTTCCAGTCCTCGGGATTCATGGAAAATTCCAGATTTAATAAATGTACATTTAAATTCAAATAGTAGCTCGATCTTAACTTATCATGGCTGCTAGGTCTATGTATCAGTTATTACCTCCCCTCGCTTCCCATCACTTCCGTTACTAAGGTTGTATTATTGAGCGGCAAATTTGAACTCATAAAAAGCAACACAATTTTACATCCACCGTTGTTTAATTATTTTGAAATTAAATTATAAGGAATGACTCTAATTCTTGGCCAATTTAAATTATATTGGTTTGAATCAGTTTACGCTTTTTATAACCCGCTTCGCGGATTATAAAGCGTAAACTAACCCAAACCAGACTATATCAAATAATTTGGCCAAGAATTAGAGTCATTCCTTGCACATTGAGATATCCATGAAATTTTTTTTCTAGTTTCCCGATCATGACAAGGTTGTGACAGGTCGGCAGCTCGTTATCTCCACATATTTCATGTAGATGAAATTACTGTAAACCAACTTTTATTCGCGACAACTTTATTTCGCGATTTACCGGATATAAACTAGTTAGCGATGATTAATTTTCGCGATCAAGCCGATTTTGGCTTTGTTATTAATGCACACAGAGACTTTAAGTACCGGTTCACGGAGAGAAATATTCGCGATGACGAGGCTCTCGCGAACTTCACGAAAATTTCTCGCACGCGAATAAAGTTGGTTTTCAGTAATAAAAGTTATTATATTTGAATGATTTTTTTTTTTTAATTTTCATGTATTCTAGTTTAATGTATGGACATTATGGTCTCGAATAAACAGTAAACTTTGCTGTGTTGTGAATGTTTTTGTTTCGGTATTTCCTGTATGGCTGGCTTGTTTTATGTCACGTGACCTGGTTTTATAAATAGCACATGCGTGTTTGAAAAGTCACTCTATGGAAAATATAACTATGGCGGCCTCTAACTAATCTCAAGACAACTAAACTCAAAAGTGAGAAGACAATGCAACAACAACTTGTAAATTTTAAATGACATAGAGCAAATATTTTGTGTAAAATATATTAAGAAAATGTATATTTACCTTGCCAAGTAGGCTTGTTGCATTTAGGACATATAACTTTTTGACACATTTCTCTTTTGCTTTCAAGACGTTGTCCCGGAAGATAAACAAATGCCTCATGATGTCTTGAAAACCATTGTGACATCACGTGAACTTTCCATGTAGACACATGTCATAAAAACCATTGTGACGTCATAATACCATATAGTGTTATGTTACCGGTATAATGCTGATTAGATAACACATACCTTGCAATTTAATTTTTTGTTTGTTTGTTGTTTATTGGATTTATTTTATTTTATATGTCTTTTTATCTCAATAAGAATAAAAAATTCTCAAGAGGGACGTCAAACAACAAACATTTACTTTTACGGATTTTTAAAGATCGTATTACATTGTTTCTAAGGTTTTCTCATTTGTGTGTCGAGTAGCCATTTCCTGTGCGAATTTTCAGGTTTCAGTTTCAAAGCAGGTAAATTATCGAGTGGCATAAAGTAGTCGACTATGCCAAGAAGATCAAGATCTCGGTCGAGGTCACCAAGAAGAGGTAAATTAAATATATAGAAATACAATTTTTAGAATTTTCACAACAGTTTAACTAGGGACCAGTCACCTATAGGACTAACAGTTAATGTAAACAATAGCCACTGAGCTACGCTTTCGAAGCTCACTGTTTATCGTTTACTTTGTTTTACATTGTTTTATCCTTAAAATTTCCGACTCCTGTGTTTGGTATATGATTTACCAATTGATACTGATAGGTAAAGTAAAAGGCAGAAATAGTCAGGAATGCGGGTGCTCTGTAATGGGGTCTGTCCCACTCTCTTGTTCACATTGCTTGTTCTCTGAAAAGGACGCTATATCTACCACATTATGTTTCTTTAGACATCTTCGAACATTGTTGATCATAAAAATCCTAAGATAATCCTCACATCTTTCAGTTACTTCCGTAATACTGGTTCTATACAGCCCAGGCATGGAAATACAGGCACGCCAATGAGATTTGGGGAATTTCCATATGATTTCAAACCACTTTTTCAATTATCATTGCTTCACAACATGCCTGGGACAAGTCTTAAATAAAAATTGTTAAACCCAAACCAAAACAATAAATTTTGGCCATGTTTGTCAGTCTATCCCAAAAGCACCGGTCCGTGGGACAAAACAGGTGAAAATCTTATTGGTCCGATGCTCTAACTTGTAAAATCGGTCCGTTTGTCTGAGGTGTGTTTTGGTTGGGTTTTAAATTTTACATTTCCTATTTTATCATATAGACGCTTTAATTAAAACCAAAACACATATTAAAAATGTTTTGTTGATTGTGATTGTTTCAGAATAGGACTAATTAAAGGTCAACAACTTTTAGTGAAAATTTATCATTTTACTTGAAAATTTATTTACCCAGTTGTTTTCTGTGTTTAGAAATTTGAATAAGTGATGTAGTTTGTAACAGTAGCAAAATAAGTCATTATACTTAGCTTTACTAATGCAGGATTATCTGTTCAATTCAGAGAGAAGATCTTCCAGGGAAAGGGAGAGAAGACGTAAGTAAATAGAAGGGAAGCTTTAATAATTATATCATTGCAAAGTGATATACACATGTGATGCATTGCATATGTATGCCTTCTTACATTGTAAGAAGGCATACATACATAGGAACTTTTCATTTCCTTTAGCTGCAGATCTGTAGCTCTCCGAAAAAAATATATTGATAGACCGGATCGAGAGCTACAGTGCCACCCATTGAAAAAACTGTATATTTATTGCACACAAAAAAGTGCGCTCGGTTCTCGATTTATTTTTCCATGTTTTTAAAACTGTAATTTCAAAATATTACTAACCGTGTGTTCCTAACATATTCTTTCGCTGTTTCCACAACCAAACATTCCTCATTATTGTTATTGATAGTCCTCCTGACCCTTATATTGTAATCATCGAACATTTCGCTTATTTATACTGCCATTTTGGTTTCAAAGATAATTCGGACCAATATGCTTCGTTCGGATGTCAACTACGAGAGTACTTGATAGAAAATAAAGGATTTTTTTGAAATCTTCCTTTATTTGCAATTGAGGTAAGAATTTGGAAGATTTAATTAAGAACCGAGCGCACTTTTTTGTGCGCAATAAATATACAGGTTTTTTCAATGGGTGGCACTGTAGCTCTCCGGTCTATCAATATATTTTTTTCGGAGAGCTACAGATCTGCAGCTACATTTCCTTATGAAATTTGTGTATCTTGTATACTTAAAAATGTATAAAATATGGTTATATAAACATGCACTTGAAATGTAGATTAATGGCCTTTTAATGTGAAGATGGAGGGGGGCATTTTTGGTTAGAAAAAAAACTCAGTCTTAAAAGTTGAATATTTGATCTATTAGGACACAGAAGGAGCCGATCCAGATCTCCCAGGAGGAAATCCAGATCTCCCCACAGATCCCGGGAACACAGGGAACACAGATCTAGGTCACCACGACACAAGTAGGTCAAAGATAGAGACCATAATCAGATACACATAGTATATATATACCAGTACCCACTCACAGGGAACACAGATCCAGGTCACCACGACACAAGTAGGTCATAGATAGAGATCGTAATCAGATACACATGATAGTATATATATACCAGTACCCACTCACAGGGAACACAGATCTAGGTCATCACGACACAAGTAGGTCATAGATAGAGATCGTAATCAAATACACATGATAGTATATATATACCAGTACCCACTCATAGGGAACACAGATCCAGGTCATCATGACACAAGTAGGTCATAGATAGAGATCGTAATCAAATACACATGATAGTATATATATACCAGTACCCACTCACAGGGAACACAGATCTAGGTCATCATGACACAAGTAGGTCATAGATAGAGATCGTAATCAGATACACATGATAGTATATATATATACCAGTACCCACTCACAGGGAACACAGATCTAGGTCATCATGACACAAGTAGGTCATAGATAGAGATCGTAATCAAATACACATGATAGTATATATATACCAGTACCCACTCACAGGGAACACAGATCCAGGTCACCACGACACAAGTAGGTCATAGATAGAGATCGTAATCAGATACACATGATAGTATATATATACCAGTACCCACTCACAGGGAACACAGATCTAGGTCATCATGACACAAGTAGGACATAAATAGAGATAACTGACATATGGAGATCATAAGCAGATACACATAGTCTATATTAACCAGTACTCACTCACTGGGAACACTGATCTAAGCTATTAAGACGCGTACACATAGTTCATAAACTCTGCCATTGTTGGTGAATATAAAACATACTACTACATGTATATTGAATTCACATCTTGTTATGCAGATAGAGATCATACTCAATAAAATGACATAGACATTAAACTGTCATAGGTGACATACAGAGACTGTAGTCTAGTTGATGACACATAGACACATAGAGATCCATTTTAAATTCTTTTCATTGACAAAAAAAAAATAGATCAAACACTTTCTTAATTGTAAAATAAAGGTTTTACTCTTATAACTGACAAATAAAGATCAATTCTGATTAGTAACATATGGAAATCAAACTCTTTTTACTGGCATAAAGAGATAAAACTCTTGTAAGTGACAAATAATATCAAAGTCTTGTGACACAGATATCAAACTTTTGTGAGTGACACATATATATCAAAGTCTTGTGAGTGACACATACCCATATATATCAAAGTCTTGTGAGTGACACATGTATATATCAAACTAAGATATCAAACTCTTGTGAGTTACATACAGATATCAAATTCTTGTGAGTAACACACAGATATTAAACTGTTGTGAGTGACACATAGATATCAAACTCCTGTGAATAACATATAGATATCAAACTATCATTATTGGCATATATCCATCTACTTATCCCCAGCAGTAGAAATTACTCTTATATAAAAATATTCTTAATATCTGTATAGATATCAAATCTTATATGTGAAAAGTTGTGATCAAATTCAAAGTACATCATGTACTTGTATTTGCATCACAATTATACAGACTGTAAAAATTTATTAAATTGACCTTTTATTCCTTGATGAATGTTTTGGTCTGCATAATCCTGCGTGTTTTAAATTATTACAGTCAATTAATTTGTATGAATAAAACCAAAGTTTTATTTCATTTTGAACAAAAGTCATTGAATGAATGTAACATATCTCTTATTTAAATTATTTGTAGAGAAAGAAAAGAAAAGCACAAGGAGAGAGACTCGTCAACAGCTGAGAAAGTAGTTCATGAAAAACCTAATGTAACTGGTAAGGATTCAAACTAAATTATTAACTGATATCATGTTATTAGAGTACTGGTAAAATTTATAAAGACATCAATATTTTGATGTTATTGATGTATTGTACTATTGTACACTAGCTTGAAATGTTAAGATTATTACCACAAGCTCTATTTCAGGCTGTGTAAACTGCAGTTTAAAACATGATTGACATAAGAATCACAATGATATAGTGCAGACTATATCATTTTCATATTTTTACGTTTATATTTAAACAAACACGTTAAGTTTAATGATGTCCTATCAATGATTACAGAAGTAGAGCTGGAAGGACTACCACAGGATGAAGCAGAAATGATGAAAATTATGGGATTTGGAAATTTTGACTCCACAAAGGTAAAATACAATAACTGTTGATTCCTAATTTATATATATGCAATTTAATTCTTGTAATTTTATGTCAATGAGTGATTTCATGATATAAAATCATCAAATAAAATAAGGGATTAACAGTACAGATACATGTACGAGGGGTGTTAGAAAAGTTCGCGGACAAGTTCTATTGTGAGCGCGTTATTTAAACGAAACCGGTCAAACTTTCCAGATAAAATCTTAACCTATATTGAAGTATATTCCAATAAATATACAAAAATTTGGTGCTCTCCGGTGATCATTGAAAACTATACAGCTTTTTTATTTTGATAAAACTTGCTTCACAGAGCATGCTACATTTTGGCACGTTTACATCTCAAAGACTCTTTTTTTAACATTAAAAATTGCACAATTGTAGTGCAAAGATATTTATGATATTTAAGTTGTCGCTGAAATATTTATGAAACGTCACTGGGTGAAATTTTGAATTAAATTGTAGGGTATATGACTGTTTTAAAGCCATTTATAAATGATCAACGCATAAAAACACGGTCAAAAACCGGAACGTCATTGAGCGTCATGGAGCACTGCACTAGATAAAATTATGTGTGCAGACAGGAAAATGTCTAAAAAGATATTAAAATGTTCAAGATGCTGCCGAGAATTTCCTACATATACAAAGTACAATAGTTTTCAAATGGTTGTAGCTTGATAAGAATGGAAGGATTAACATTTTGAATGATTAACTCTATCGATACTTCAATACCCCATTATCGCATGGACGTCATGCCTATATGGTTTTGCATAGTTTCCATACCTGATCGATTAACTTCATAGACTTTTCTAAAGATCTCAATAATATCCGAATTATATAGTATAGAACAGTAACATTATACAGATAATCAATTTTAAAGTAGAAAAAAATGTAAGAAAAATCTGAAGAAATGAAAGATTTATGGAACTGCGAAAAAGATTAACGGGTTGAAATCTGTTTGTCACGTCAAGGGATTGCTCCGTGAATCACATGACATAATAGTAAAAATCGTTGTAAATTTTCAAGATTTTAGTAAATGGACCTGATTTTTTACATACTAATAAACAAAATGTAGGAAATTATTCCGACATAGGTCATACTTCACAGTACACAATAGGTTTTCCGTAATTCAACGTGTCCGCTAACTTTTCTAACAACCCTCGTATGTTTGATCAAGAATAGCATTTCTGTTGAAAAATTGAATAATCCCTCTGAGCATTTTGTATACATCTAATGGACTTTTCAACTTACAGGGTAAAAAAGTAAATGGGAATGATATTTATGTTGCCAATATACCAAAGAAAAGACGCTATAGGTAAATTATTTTTTGGACATGCTGCAAATCTTATTTATGACACAAACTCATAAACTAAAGCTTGTTGTAAAACATCTTTATGTATACAAATACTGATAGATTGTTGCTAATATAAGTACTTACTTTTTATACATTTGAAGGTAAACTTTATAAATTATCTTTCGGATTATGAAATATTCAAAAAATTTCATTAAAGTGGATTTCAGGTAAATGAAAATCTTTGATTTTCCTCAACTTTTAGAATTCTGAAAGACTGTCAATAGAAAGGCTTTTCTTACTATGTTGCACAATTAAAACTCTAATTGTAGACAATATATGAACAGAAGAGGAGGCTTCAACCGGCCATTAGACTTCATTGCATGAGACTGTTTTTACCATTGTCAGTGTTCCAGAAACTTGATATTTTAAATAATGTCAGTCATTTAAAACTTCTACAGAGAGGACCACAAAAAACGTGTCAACAGAACTCTGTGTATTAATTTAGTACATGTACCAGTATATGTTCATGTGAATGAAACTGAACTGTTATTGAAAGGATACATCTTTATTCATGAAAAGTACATGTATTTGCATAAAAATATCACAGTCAGTGTAAAGCATATTTCCTTTTTGACGTGCAAAGTTATCAATTTGTACAACAGCGTAAAATGATAGGACAATTCTGCAAATTACAGTCATTTGTACTGTCATTAAACTTATCTAATATCAATAACAAAAATTTCTTATTGCACTTTAACTATTCATCTTTTACATTTATTTGATTAAAACAGATTTTAAAGTTGAATGCCTTTAGAGTTCTAATATAATTAGAATCCTATAAAGATAATGCAATTTTATTTCACACTTTTGATGCATGATGTATATTTCTTGGCCCTGTATATATGTCCGCGCAGTTTTTCCCCACACAGTCAGCAATAAAGAACAGATCTAATAACAGTAAGAGAGAGATCATTGCAGTTCTGCTACAAATTGTTGAATCACTCATCTGAGGTATTGATTTTGTGAAGCTCTGTCGCAAAAGTCAAAGCATCATCGACAGCTTCACAGCTCCTCTGCCAGGACTGAGGGATAGTCTCTAATCCGTACCAGGCACCTGCTATAGCGCCGGCCATTGTAGCTATGGTGTCTGTATCACCTCCCAGAGAAATGGCTAGAATGATGGTCTTTTCAAATGGATTCCTGCCCTAAAAAATGAGAAAAAGGTAATTTATTTCTCTCCAGGAGTACAACATGTACAGGTAATGTAAGCATTGAGCTTACAAACAACATGCCTCCCCCCCCCCCCTCCCGAGCATAATAACCGAGTATAATGACAAAGTCCAAGTTTTGCAAGGTGAAACCTCAAAGACCTCTCCAATCAGAGTATAAAATAGGAGGTGAAAAACAGCACTACAGAAAAAATTCTGTGTCTAGTTAAATTTTATTCAGTGGTGGATAAGAGTTGGGTACTTCTGTGTTATAGGAAGAATAGCAGTATCAATGTTTTGCTATGGGAAATGCCAATATAGGAGCAGTTGAGGATATGAGATGGGTAGCCCCTATACTATGGAAATAATGGCAGTGTCCATATTTTTCAATGGATAACCATACATTTCTTCCAAGTCAGAAAATAAAATGAGAAGTGTACAATGACATTACCGGTATGTAGCAAAAATCTGGTGAAAGTCTCTTAATTTCAATTTAGTGGTTAAGGAGGAATTGCAGATAGGAGATGAGTATCCATAAGTTACAGACATATGGAAAGAATTATGGAACATTGTACACCCCCTTCTTTATATACCTCTCACTATTCAAGCCTGGGGAGGAGAGGGGGAGGGCTTTTCATTATATGTACATTGTACAATTTTATCAATTTTGAACCCCCCAGTTGTAGTCCACATTCATTAGGTCTAGCGCAGAACATTATGACTTAGATATAATTTTACTTACTGTAGAATCAGAACTTAAACATCTACCATGAAATCAATAAATGTAAATCTTAATTATTGTAAGTGTTGGATGATCATCATATCATAACATGGAAAGTTGTATCCACAAATTTTTATCATGTGTGCAATTCAATTTGTCAGCACAGTTGTCCCTGTTATGACATGACAACTGTCCAATCTTTACCATTGAATTTTGAGTTACCTCCAGTTTGTTGATGCCTGTGTTTGTGAAGACCTACCTTTAGTTTGTGTGTGTGTCTGTGTGTGTTTGTCTAGACTTACTTCCAGTTTGTTGATGTCTGTTTGTGAAGACTTACCTTTAGTTTGTGTGTGTGTCTGTGTGTGTTTGTCTAGACTTACTTCCAGTTTGTTGATGCCTGTGTTTGTGAAGACTTACCTTTAGTTTGTGTGTGTGTCTGTGTGTGTTTGTCTAGACTTACCTCCAGTTTGTTGATGCCTGTGTTTGTGAAGACTTACCTTTAGTTTGTGTGTGTGTGTGTGTGTTTGTCTAGACTTACTTCCAGTTTGTTGATGTCTGTTTGTGAAGACTTACCTTTAGTTTGTGTGTGTGTGTGTGTGTGTGTGTGTGTGTGTGTGTTTGTCTAGACTTACTTCCAGTTTCTTGATGTCTGTTTGTGAAGACTTACCTTTAGTTTTGTGTATGTGTGTCTGTGTGTGTTTGCCTAGACTTACCTCCAGTTTGTTGATGCCTGTGTTTGTGAAGACTTACCTTTAGTTTGTGTTTGTGTCTGTGTGTGTTTGTCTAGACTTACTTCCAGTTTGTTGATGTCTGTTTGTGAAGACTTACCTTTAGTTTGTGTGTGTGTGTGTGTGTGTGTGTGTGTGTTTGTCTAGACTTACTTCCAGTTTGTTGATGTCTGTTTGTGAAGACTTACCTTTAGTTTGTGTGTGTGTCTGTGTGTGTTTGTCTAGACTTACTTCCAGTTTGTTGATGTCTGTTTGTGAAGACTTACCTTTAGTTTGTGTGTGTGTCTGTGTGTGTTTGTCTAGACTTACTTCCAGTTTGTTGATGCCTGTGTTTGTGAAGACTTACCTTTAGTTTGTGTGTGTGTCTGTGTGTGTTTGTCTAGACTTACCTCCAGTTTGTTGATGTCTGTTTGTGAAGACTTACCTTTAGTTTGTGTGTGTGTCTGTGTGTGTTTGTCTAGACTTACTTCCAGTTTGTTGATGTCTGTTTGTGAAGACTTACCTTTAGTTTGTGTGTGTGTGTGTGTGTGTGTGTGTGTGTTTGTCTAGACTTACTTCCAGTTTCTTGATGTCTGTTTGTGAAGACTTACCTTTAGTTTGTGTGTGTGTCTGTGTGTGTTTGTCTAGACTTACTTCCAGTTTGTTGATGTCTGTTTGTGAAGACTTACCTTTAGTTTGTGTGTGTGTCTGTACGTGTTTGTCTAGACTTACTTCCAGTTTGTTGATGTCTGTTTGTGAAGACTTACCTTTAGTTTGTGTGTGTGTGTCTGTGTGTGTTTGTCTAGACTTACCTCCAGTTTGTTGATGTCTGTGGAGGCCCTGAGGAAGGAGTAGACAGCTGCTGGGACGGACCTGTAGGCTGCTATGTCTGTTCCTGTCACCATAAAATCACACACATGTACAGGTGTAAAGAATAAAACTGTAGGATTCAATTAACTTTACTGTAAATTTGTTCTTCTATTCTCACTGATTGATTGAAGATATATTGACCAAATTAACTTATGCACTGAATTTGAAAATATTCAAGTGAAAGATTTAATTCATACATTTTACATGTAAGGCTATAATAAAATACCCAGTCTTTCACTGATTTCTTCACTGGTAGGAATGGGGTCTTGTAAGGCACATTTCTTTATTTCATCAATAATTTCTGTGTATGCAAGTGATGGGAAGTCTGATGATGTTTTTATCCTGCAAAGTAACAGAAAACATATATGAAATCTATTTGAAATTAGATCTTTGATCCACTTCACTAGATCACTTGTTTGTAGTAATCTAACAAAACTGATCAAAGATCTAATTAGATTAGAATGACATGAGATTAGAATTACATGCAGTACATGTATTCTACTTTGATTTAATAAATGACCTTTCTTGATCTAATAATAATAATAATAATAATAATAATAATACTTCATTTAAAGAGGGTGACTCAATTAGTGCGAGCACTATTCTTCCTTGAGGCCGTCTATAAAAAATACATATATAATACACAATGATAAATAGTACATTCAACAATGTTATATATGACACAACATACAATAATAATACATGCATTAATTATTTCATTAATAGTACAGTCCACAGATATACAATTATATAATAATTTAAGTTGAACGTTGGTCTATTATAAATTTTCTTGACTTGATTTTAAAATTTTGAAGTGATGGAGACATTCTTAGATTTCTTACATTTAAAGGTAAATTGTTCCAGAATACTGCTCCCGAATATAGAAAAGAATTTTGAAATATTATGGTTTTGTGCTTTGGAACACACAAGTCAAAATTAGATTAAGATCTTAGATGGTACAAATTGGTAATTAAACATTTCAGACAGGTAATTTGGACTTGCACCATAAAGCGTTTTATACACTAATACTAACTTATTTACAGTCAATTGCTCATGTACTGACAGCCAATCAAGTTTTTCAAATGTAATAGAGTGAAATTTTATATGTTTTTAATAAATTTTATTTTTCAGGAATTTTCTTTGATCTAATTATCATTTTCAGAGTTTAAATTGAAATGTGTAAATAAAGATTTATTTCATTTAAACTATGAATTAAAATATGTGTTTTGTTATTTTATTATTTATGGAGTCTTACAGGTAAAGTATTTAGTTATCTTTCTTTTGGGTTAACCTGTAGATTTGTAGCTATTTATAGATCTGGTTAGAAGTGGTCATTCTGGATTGGTCAGGTGATTTTAGGTGGGAATTCTATTCTGGTTTGTCATGCCCAAGCGTTCAGATGGGTGTGAGAGTGTCTTAGAACAATTTTAGAAGTTTTCTTTGATCAGTACTTGATAAGTTTAATAATAATAATTATTCCATTAATAAGGTTTTCACATTTCTTTATTTTCCCTACTTTATCTACTTTGTGTGAATGTTTGGATGTTAGACTGAGTATGCTAGGGAGTGAAAGTCTTTTGTGAGATTTGTATGAAAGCTGTAAATAAGTTATGTAAATATAATGGTATTAAATAGTTTATTTTATTTCTAAATAATTTGCTAAAATTAGATTGGAGAAAATGATTGCTTTTTAGTTATAAAGTTTTGAAATAAACAAATTCCTAAAGCATTCATTTTACAAATAATTCCCTACATTGAGCAACATATCATTTTTTACATTTAGAACACGTACCATATTATTGAGACAGCTGAGTTTTGTATATAGCAGACCTTTGCACTCATGGGAGGTAAGGTTGATTGTGTGTTGGTAGAAAAATGAACACAGCATTATTTTTAAATATTTATGAGTTACAAAGTATTTTTGAAAGTATTTAAACTCATTTTTCTTTATTTGTTCAATTCATGTAATTTGAGAGTTTTGCATGAGATTATCTGTTATTTGAAATTTTCCTAGTTTGTGTTCATCAGAAACTATGAATATTCTAAACTTATTTATAATGAGTTTATGACAAGTATTGTTGTATGAAGAGATTCTAGTTAATTTTGGAAATTTTGGTTTTATTTTATATTACAACTGCTTTGCTTGTAAAAATTTGCATGCAGAGTTATTGTTCTTGTGTTTATAATTTTAATACATATTTACAGGGTCATCTATATGTCATCTTTACCATAATGGGCAATAGTCTACCATCACAATAAAACCCACGTATTATAAACCAGATGGAATGTGTTTGTCTTGTGTATTTCCACCCGGTTTCACAAACAAGGGTTTTGATGGCGTGTCATAGGCAGCAGCTAAGATACAGCGAGCTGCCCGTGTTTGTAACTTATGAATCCTCTCAAGGCTAGAGGCTGATGCATTTCCCCAAATTGTTAAACAGTATTCAATTGATGGCATTATATAAGCATCATAGAATAACTTTCTTGTGTTTAATGGAAGATATTTCTTAATTTTTCGTAATACAGATATCTTTCCAGATACAGATTTACAAACAGCATCGATATGTGTATTAAAGTTAAGTGAATTATAAATATGAATTCCAAGTAATTTTTCATGTGTGACATTCTCAAAAAAATGATCTGAAATTTGTAATATTAGATTTTGGTATTTCTGTTTTGATCGTCTCTGATGTGTGCCTACCAACATGCATTTTGTTTTACTAGTGTTCAAAATCATTTGATTCTGAGAACACCATGTTTCAATATTACTTATGTCCGAAGATAACATGTTTTGAATGGAAGAAACATTGCTGTCAGAAAAGTGAAGAGTAGCATCATCCGCAAATAAGTCTATGCTTGATTTCTCTATGAATAATGGGATATCATTGATGTAAAATAAGAAAAGAAGTGGACCTAAAATTGATCCCTCATAAATACATTTATATTTGATGTGTGTCTGATGTTAATACAGTATAATGCATTATAGATACTTTTTACTGAACTGCAGTACTGCATGTATAAGTTGTTTCATTTTTAAAATTTTGTACATTTATATGTGTAAAGGATTGCTTTCCATTTAGAAGTACTAGCCCTTGGGTGTAAAATCATATGAGACTGCAGACTACATTGGAATCTATTCACATTCAAATTCCAATCCGTTTTATCATATGCTCTACAAAACTTCCCAGTACAGGAACAGTATTTTTTTTTAACTAATCATAATTCATTGCTCACATGTCTGGCTGGTCTTCTTCTTTTCCTTTTTTCTTTTTGTCTTTCTTTGCTTCACTCTCCTCCCTTTCCTTCATTCTCTTCTGAAGCTCGTCACAGAACGATTCTATTTTTAACTCTCCTGATCCCCTTAGAGCCAGATCCACGGCATAACTCTGGAGGAGTGCACCGTCTACAGCTGAGGGGTGAGTGTGTGTTAGCTTCGTAACCTGTTCCACCAGACCCTAAACAGAAGAGGTGGTTAGTATGCAGTAAAAATAACCCCATATTGTAATCAGTTTTTAACTCTTGATTTTACTTCCATTCCAAATATCTTGAACTAATTATAAGTAATGTTGTAAATTTTTTGGTTAAATAGACAATATCTATAAAATGAAAACTTAAAATACTTTCATTGTCATCTGACATGAATGAATATACATTTATTTATTAATTGTATCAACTCAAAAGCCTGCAACAGTGTACATATATATCCTTAATCAAAATAGGCAGTGTTGCTGAATATTGATCTGATGCTCAGTATCCATTATCTGAACTATTCCACTCAAGTTACTATTACAATGACAGATTTACAGAGCTGTGGAAAACTTTTTCAGATATATGGAGTATGTCAGTCCGAAGTACTGAAATAGTAAGTTGCAAAATTAAAAAGAAAATAACGTGTATTTTCTTAATTACACTTTACTTAATGATAATTATTAGTCTCCATTTCCAAGTCCTCTTTCGTTTTTATTTTTTGCATTTATAACAATACTAGATTTCATCACTTTTGGGCAAATGACAATGATAATTCTGCATAGTAAATTTTAGTTAATTTTTTTTAAACATTAATGCATTTGGAAATTATATTTTACCTCGAAAATGAGTCTAAGAAAGTCTGAGCATGGATAATAAAGATACCAACATCATGAACATGATTGATAAAAAAAAAAGAAATCTGGAACAGTCGAAACGACGGCCATACTGGGTTTACCGCTTTACTCAACTGTGTTTGAATATTTTCTGTCATAATGTTTTACATATTTAGCCTGTCTTTATCTTTTTTTATGTTTTCCACCTAATTCTGTCCCATTTGTAAATTAATAAGGTCACGCGAGACAATGCTGGTTTCGCTTTCATTTTCTATAGCCTCGATCTTGTGCAAAGGAAAAGTATTGCGTAATCGTATATAATGTACGATAATTAAGCTGGGAAGTGCGCTGATGATAGGCCTAAATCGACATGGAAAAACAAAAACCTTTATCAAAGAAAGAGGTCCACGACCATCATTTTTAAACATTTTTTGTTGCTGGCATGCGGGTTTTCCACAGCTCTGGATTTATATGGAGTATTTACTGGTACTGATCACAAAATTGTTTACTTTGGGGACTGGAATAATAAAAAGTAACTTACTGTCAGGGTTTTGGGATCATTTTCTTTGTATGCAAATAAAGAAGCTGGAACAATGCGCATGGCCCCACCATTACCATAAGATCCACACCCATCAAACTGTTCTGCAGCAGGTCTGAAGGGGTCCAAATAATGTGATTCTTTAAGCTTAGTGAACACTGTGATGACACCTCCTCCATAGCCCCTGAATGGCTCCTTAAAATACTCCTCTGAAAACCTACCAATGCAATTCAATTCTTCAACAGGTAGTTATTAACCACAACTTCAATATTAATACTGTATATAGGGAAATTTTTGCCCCAGCTTTATTTTCGTGCCTTTTGCCTTTAGCTCAGTTAGGCAAATTAAAAAAGGGGCGATTCAAAGAATATGTACATTATAATTTCTTAAACAAAACTGCATGTGACTGAGCAAATTTCAAACATAACAAAATTGTTTGCAAGTGTGAAAGGGCAAAAAAAAAGTGGGGCGAAAATAACCCTGTGTACATTAGTATATCTAAAATTTTCATACAAAGAAAAAGTATAAGGGTATAGAATGACAGGTGTATAAAAGCCCCGTACATCTGTGCCATGTGTTTGGGATCTAGGCCTTTCTTCTCTATCAGGGATTTAGCCACACTTCTAGCCATCGCTGTGTCATCTGTATACTCCCATATTTTGCGGTCTTCATCGTCAGTTTTCTCTGCCTCTAAAAATTTAAATACGGTAAATACATATATTGCTAATGAACTGCACGCGTCATGTTTAACACAATATATTCAATAAGAGACATATAATAGTATATTATAAGTCTCTGATTCAATATACTGTAAAATCACATATTTTCGAAGGGTCAAATTTTCATGGTTTGAGGAAAAACTCTTGGTTCGTGGGGATTTGATTTCGTGGATATAGTATTGTTGAGTAATTATGTATGTCACATTTTAAATTTCGTGGTGGACATGAATTCGTGGGTCTCTTCACAACTCGAAAACAACGAAAATTAAACCCCCCACGAAAATTTGTGATTTCACAATATAACATTTATCATGATATAAAATAATGCTATTAAAAACAGTAAATAAACATAAATTGTCATACTGCATTTGAATAATATTTTAATAAATTTTATAAATGTCCCTGCACAATTTTTTTTAACAATTTGGATTTTTTAACAGTTTACCATTACTGTTATGATAAGTTATGTCCTACCCGATTCAACTTTATCGACTTTTTTAAGGACCTTCTCGATTGCAATACTTTTTGCCCATAATCCCTCAAATATAGAACCTATACAATCGCCAAGTACAGCACCAACTAAAGCGCCTTTGAATTTCGAAATAAGAGTCTCCCCCGACATCATCGCCTGTTGTTTTTCTACTTTCACTTTCGTTTAGATTTCACCAGTAATTTGACAGTTTTGTTTTCCATCTGAAAGCAACATGGTAACTTCCTTAATCGGTTTGTGATCAGTCCTACTAAACAGAGTACAATCGATTACCTCTTGTTAGAGCATAAACTTGATGGATTTTTTTTTTTTTACTAAATTGCCTTTAATCCGGGACTTTACAACCGATGCAAATAGATTTTTAATTTAGTTAGAACATTTTTACATCCGGTGAAAAGTCACATAATGTCACAACTCAATCAGTCAATTAATGCTTAGAAATGATAGATTGACGTGGTTTTAGGAGAAGCATCAGTATGCCTGTTTGTGAAACATGTGACGGTGAAGATTATGAAGAGATTGATGGGTTTTTCTATTGCACCACTTGTCAAACTCAGTCTCAGGTTTTGCTATATAGATTTATTTTACATTGTAGATCAGGGTGCTGAGATAAATTATTGTTCATAGCTTGAATTAGCTTCAGTGTATAATCATGATAATTCCGCCAATAGGTTATGATAATGAAGACTTTACAGCGACCCCAAAGGATTACAGATCTGTCATCCTAATGACACAAAGAGTTTTTTTTGTTTTTTTTGCATGCATTCATTTATGCCTTTGAAAAATTTTTAGGCACTCTTCAGATTGATATAGAGTCTGTTCATCCTGTCTGCACATTAGTCCATTCACCATATTTCTTGTTTGCCCTTAAACACGGTCCTCCTGTTTAGCCTATATCCAGTTTGCCCTATCTTTTGTAAATATTATGTTTGATCTTTAGCATTGAACATAAAGTCATTTCTTTTATTTCTTTTTTGAAGTTCAGGGCTCAACATTAACTTTTTTTCCAACTTGTCCATTCGGACTCCAAGACATTTACTTGTCCGAACTTCAACTTCACTTGTCCGAAAAAAAATTAATAAAGGTCTAATTAGTTTCAATTTTAAAATTAAAATAAATATTATGTTTGATCTGTTATTGCATTGAATATAAAGTCATTTCTATATTATTTCTTATGAACACAATATTAATACATATACCCTTGTTCTTTAAAAAAAATTACACAGCTATTTCTTAAACAGAATTGTAACTAGTTTTAACAAAATTGTTTTTTAAAAATATATATATATTATGATACAAATCATGCATTTTTTATTTACATGATTTGTATTTCATTATACAGAAAAAGTCATGAAATTAAAGAAATCAGTGTGTTCTTTAAAAAAAAAAATCTTTCTAACATTTTTAAAATCATTTTTATGCATGCATTTTTTATCGACATGATTTGTATTTCATTATACCAAAAAAGTCATGAAATTAAAGAAATTGGTGTGTTCAAATTTTTAAAAAATCGACTGACTACGGATTTAAACAAAACAAACCTTGGGCAAATGAGTTTTGGGTGAACAAGATTAGTCAAGATACAGAGCAAGCAGCACTAAGGACAAATGTATTTTAGGATGAACAATACATTCGGATTCCCCATAGATAGTTCTTGATAATAGCTTATTTTTATACTTGTTCAGCTGCACTTGTCTTTATAAGGTTATGTCAGTGCAACCTGTAAGCAACAAGTTAACCCTCATAGACACATGAGAAAATAATTGCATTTAGTGAAGGTGAATTTTTATTCCATTCAGGCCTTCAGAGTAGAGGAGATTGAGGATGAATACAGGGCTCCTCCATCACATACACTGGAGATTAGATCCTCAAAAAGCCAGTCTAAACAGAAAAGAGAAGATAAAGGTAAAAAAAAATTGGTATCTGTTAGATTATTCAAACATCATATTTTGTAGAATTAATGAAAAGAATAATATATGACAGGGTTTTAAAGGATCATGTAGGTCAAGAAAATATAACCTGGAAGAATGTAAATTCTAGCATTTCAATTTTTTAATAAATTGTTTTTGATCATATAGTGTAACATTACCCCAAATTTCCAGAAAATAAATATACTTTATCCATGACATTGAATATTTTAGGCATTTTCTGTATAAAGCAGTGTATTGTTGTAGAGAAAGATCTTGGTCGTCCATGGCACACTTATGAAGCTTTCCAAAAGATAATTAAAGAACAAGTTAAATCCCTGATCAAACTGGGAGCTGATCCCGCACTGAAAGTAGGAGTTTTTTTTTTTAATTTCAATGCACTACAATGAAATAAAGCAACTAGATGCGATCTCGTTGCGAGCAACGAGAGGTCTTCCGTCCGATTCAGGAAAAAAACTTGTAAAATCGAACTAAAAAGTGATTAAAAATTTTGATCACAAGGAGGAGTGAATCCATGTCGCCAACGTGAATGCGCCTTTTTTTTTCTCTCTTTTCTCCCCAACGCGCGAACCATTTAGCTATTGGGAATACTGCTTTAAATATACTTGTGTATACTTTTGCAACAGTACACCTGTCTAAGAATCATAAAAGGCGGGACACTATTCATAATTTCGTGTCAAACGCCACGCATAAATATTCACACCTTTTCTTTGTACTGATCTATTAAAGAGGTGCAATAGCTTCAATGAAATTAATTAAATAAAACATTCTTATCACCTTTATTTTATTTCGGCGTTAAAATTTAACACATTGTACACATTACATATCGTATCTAGCCCAGTAACACTAAATCAGTGAAACGTAAAATTATTGACACTGAATTGCAAAACTGAGAGTCAAGTAGTTTTTTGCATTTCATGTATCCTTATGTCAGAATGGTAATAAGACTCGCGAAATGTCGGGGTTATCTTGGGCCCGCTTCAGATTTTCAAATATTAATATCTAGAGTTCAGATTAACCAATATTAAAACAACTTATATAGTAAGCATCAATAGAAGTGTCTTTATTAATATTCCAAAAATAAATGAAAAATATTGAAAAACAAAGAAAGTTGAAAATTTGGACTTTTTGAATTGGCTTCCGGTAGCGACGGGAAGTACTGACGACGAACGAAAAGTTGCGTCCTGGAAAGTATTGATCATCATCTATAAACTCTGAAAGTTTCACATTGATATCTTTTACCGTTTTTGAGTTTAATCGTGGACAAAATGTCATTTTAAAATCAGGAAAATGGTCCAAAACTTGGCACCAGAGAGGAATTTCCAAAAACTGTCTTGGAACTTTCAAGAGTATCTTACAACACATCTTTCCTGAAAATTTCATGTAATTCTATCCAGTAGTTGTCGAGATATCGTGTCAGAAAAATAATAATAATAATAAGAAGAAGAAACAGAGCAATAACTATAAGGTCTTCCGTGAAGACGGAAGACCTTAATTATCAAACTGTCAATTACTGGTAACAAATAATAGTGGATATGAAATTTGAAATAATTAGCTCTACTGGTCAGAGACCAGAAGAGCTTATGCGATAGTAATGCGTCCGGCATCCGTCCTTCTGTCTGTCCAGCTGTCTGTCTGTCTGTAAACAATTTTTCAAAACGCTACTCCTCCTACAATTTTAGTCTGATTTCAGTATTACTTGGCACACAAGTAGACTACACTAAGATACATAGAATAATGCATCGGTTTTTGATTTCGATGAACGGTGTTGCCATGGTTACTAAAAATAGAATTTTCTGTGAAATTCCTTTAAAACGCTACTCCTTCTACAGTTTTAGTTTGATTTCAAAATAAGTTGGCACACAAGTAGACTACACAAAGATACATAAAATAATGCAATGGTTTTTGATAAGTACAAACCAGTAGAGCTGCAGTCTCGACAGAGATTCTGGTTTTTCTATTATTTTACAATGATATTAAATTATTAACCTATAAATGATTAGTTACCTGGTATATAAAGGTAAACTTCATAATCTCAATCTCATTGGAACTGAGAAAATCTTGAAGAAATCTTAGATATCAAGGGTAAATGTACATGTACTTAAAGAATAATAAGACTTCAAAATCACTTGGACATATCTATCGTATTGGTGATATCAGTGTTCGAGATAGTACTGAAGTTCAACTGAATAGTTGTACATTTGAATATACTGTTTTTATTGATTATACTGTATACATTAGTATGACTGGACTATTGAATGCGCACTATCACAACTATAAACCAATATTTGTAGAACATTGTCTTCAAGTTCTGGTGTAGATATCTCTCCATCACTGGCATTGCTTTCCCAGAGGATCTCGATAAACAAAAAGAAATGTTTGCTGGCTTCCAAAGGCAAAGGTACTAACTACATTAGAGAAATACTAAAAAAAACAATTAGCTTATGATTATGAATTGTTTTTGTTCCTAACAAGAACATATCCTTGTAGGAAAAAAAATTATTTTAATAACCTTTCTCTGATGTACAGGTTTGACACCAGGAAACCCACTTGAATCATCTACCTACCTACCTACCTAGTCCTTGTTATGCCCGTGGGCACATAGGGCAAGGACTAGATTTCTCCACTTCTCTCTATCTTTAGCAGTTTTTTCTAACTCTCCCCACGTTAGCCTGTGGTCCCTCATTTCCTTCTCAACTGTCCTTCGCCAGGTGGTTTTTGGACGACCAGGTTTCCTCTTCCCCTCTGGTGTCCATCTAAGGGCTACTTTGGAGATGCTGTCGGCTGGCTTCCTCAACACATGCCCTATCCATCGCCATCTCCGTTTTGTCAACAATGTTCGTATATTGTCTGTGTTGGCCTTCTCATGTAGTTCCACATTTGTGATTTTGTTTGGCCAGAAAATCCTCATGATCTTTCTGAGGCATCCATTGTGGAAACTAGAGAGTTTGCATATGTCTCCTTCTGTCATTCTCCAGCATTCTGACCCATAGAAGGACAGATAGTACGCAGCTGTTATATATTCTTAATTTTGTCCTTCTACTTATGTCATTTGTTTTCCATATGCTCTTCAGGCTGATGAAGGCACCTCTAGCTTTACTTAGTCTGGCCTTTATATCTTTGTCTGCACCCCCATCCGATGTTACTATGCTGCCAAGATAGGTAAATGTTGTTGAGTTGTTCAGGTCGTTTCCATTAACCTGTATTCTTGCTGGTTGTTTGGTGTTTAATGACATAACTTCTGTTTTCCTAGTATTGATTTTTAATCCAATTTTTGTCTGCATTTCTCTGTAATTTTGTTGTTTTACTTTGCATATGCTTTTCCAGATGTGATAGTAGGGCCAAGTCATCTGCATAGTCTAGGTCTTCAAGATTGGTAAAGAGTGTCCATCTTATTCCTGTGTTATTTCCATTTAGGGTTGATTTCATTACCCAGTCAATTGCTAGAATAAATAGGATAGCTTAACACATCCCTGCCTCACGCCAGATTTTACTATGAAGCATGCATCTGATGAGCTGCCTATAGAGCAATTAAACTCTACGTAAAAAGCTTTTATCAGTTCTACTATCTTTGATGGTATTCCATAATGTCTTAAATTTTCCCTGTGGATAATCTATAAAGTTTATTATAAGCTGCCTTTGCCACTCTGTACATTGCTCTATAATATTTTGTAGGGTAAACACCTGGTCGCAACAACTTGAATCATCTATGTTGAGTTTATTTTTAGATAATATTTTTGATAATATTAAAAATTCCTTTTCATCTGGAAAAAAAAAATCAGTGGGATACACTAATTATGAAAAATGGATGAAAATTCCATGATTTCATTATATTTTTGATAAATTTTATGTACAATCCTTATGTTTTACTATGGAGCATCATATGCAATGTTAATGCTAATGTGTTTTTGTGTTAATTTTGACTTGAATTATTGCATGGATGACACCCATTTAAGGACTTATCCCATAATAATTAATATATAAAGTAAATGTTTTGTTAAATTTGTAGGGAAGTATACCCAGCCACAATTGAAAACCCTATAATCCCACCAGTCAGATTCAGGAAAACACATCTCCAAAGATTTGGGATGTCCGTAAGGAAATCAAAACAGATGCAGGTTAGAGAAAATTTAACATTTTATTCATTGCAATATGACTTGACACTTCCCAAAATCTTCATTTCATACTACAATCTTGTACAAATAGAAAATGTATTTTGGATATCATTTACTGATAGTGAATCAATCAAAATCAGTGCTAGAGTCCACTGGTTTTCATGGAATCTGACAAAGTTCCTTTGTTGTTTTAAGAGTTGACCCCAGAGAAAACTTTTAGGGATATTACAAATCCTTATTAGCTCACCTGAGCCGAAGGCTCAAGTGAGCTTTTCTGATCACATTTTGTCTGTAGTCTGTCTGTCCGTCCGTCTGTCTCTCTGTAAACTTTTCACATTTCCAACTTCTTCTCAAGAACCGCTGGGCCAATTTCAACCAAACTTGCCACAAAGCATCCTTGGGTGAAGGGGATTCAAGTTTGTTCAAATGAAGGGCCATGCCCTCATTCAAGGGGAGATAATTGGGAATTAATAAAAATTTGGTGGCATGTTTTAAAAATCTTCTTCTCAAGAACAACTGTGCCAAAAAAGATGACACTTGTGGGAAAACATCCTCAGGTAGTGTAGATTCAAATTTGTTCAAATCATGACCCCCAGATTAAGGCGGGGCCACAATGGCCGACCAAAGTTTTACATAGAAATATATAGGAAAATTCTTTAAAAATCTTCTTCTCATTGTGCCAGGAAAGCTGAAACTTATATGGAAGTATCCTCAGGTAGTGTAGATTCAAGTTTGTTCAAATCATGACCCCCGGGGTAGGGCGGGGCCACAATGGCCGACCAAAGTTTTACATAGAAATATATAAGAAAATTCTTTAAAACTCTTCTTCTCAAAAATTGCAAAGGATAATTGATCATATTTATATGGAAGCATCCTCAGGTAGTGTAGATTCAAATTTGTTCAAATCATGACCCCCAGGGGTAGGGGCGGGGCCAAAATGGCCCACCAAAGTTTTACATAGAAATATATAGGAAAAATCTTCTTTTCAAGAATAGCAAAGCCATGATTGGTCATGGGACTACTTTTGGATTCAAACTTTTCAATAATAAACCAATTTCTACTTTTTCCTAGCCACAGTGCTCAGGTGAGCGATGTGGCCCATGGGCCTCTTGTTGTTTTTCTTATCTCTTGACCAATTGCATATTATGCTTTTAGTGACAAACAACCTGTAACTTGCCTTAACCTGTCAACTGTTTTCAAATGAAATATATTTGAAAAACTTTAAAAATCTTCTTCTGGAGAGAAATGAACCAGTAAAAAAAAGAATTACTCAGTAATTTTGTCAGGGATCTCACATCCAATGTTGTGGAGATTAAAATTAAAGGTTACAACAAATCAACAAACATTTGAGAGAATGCTTGGAATATATACATGTATATACAGTAATTTATTTTATCCATAATATCTTAGACTGAACCGTTAAAAACTTCCAATATTGTACAACATTTTTTTATTCCTATTTAGGAGAAACAGGAATTGATGGATGCCCTGAGGAATGAGGAGTTCTATGAAGGAGATAATCCACTGGAGGATGATAATCCGTCAGAATCCTCAGTTATTGAGGAAGAAGAGGAATTAGAAGAAAACAGGACCAATTTAATTGTAGGTTCACTTGATACACTGTATCTGTTGGCTCAATTGATGGCTCAACTAATACTGTGTAATTGTTGGTTCATTTCATACAATATAATTGTAGGTTCACTTGATATACTGTGTTTGTATGCTTAATTGATACATTGTAAACTCAACTGAACTAATATAGGCTCAATTGATATGCTTTTAGCTTAAACTGTTTTGAAATCATGTAGGTACATGTATATGTATCAGTTATAAGACATTATTTCTTTCTTCTTGTGTCTGCAAATATGACAAGAAATTCACTTTTAAATAAATGAAATGATTATTTTTGCCAGAGTTAGGGTAGAGATAGTTTTAAAGTGCTAGGGTTTCAGAGCTTTCCTTTTATCAACCATTTCTTTCTAGGTCAATTTATTATGAAATTAAGCAAACAAAATGTTCTCATTTCATTGCCTCTTATATTTAGTTTACATGTAAAACATTCAAACAAATGAATGTTTATTATTAATCATTGTCATGATTTTAAAACAGTCTAGCCCTTTTGTAAATTCGTCAAATTGTTCTGACCATTCCCTTTATGCAGGCCGATGGTAGTTTCCTATGAGTAAAATGGTCCATACACTGATGAAGTGCTGTAGTACACTAACCAATGATATATGCATCATATTTCATAAACTTATTCATCACAATATAAAATTGGCATCTTACTGATGCATACATGTATATACTATATGTAATTATATACATGTACTGTACTCTCAGCAAGAAGACAGTGTAAGGAGAACCATACAGTGGATGAGTATGAACAGGACCCTGTGTTTCTGTTTTCTGGGTCTCAGGAAGATGAAGTGTCTGGTCACTGCTTCAGACATTGTTAGGTGAGTGATGGAATACTATGATTGCTGTGTTGTATTACACCACCTCTCTGTAAATAAAGCCTCCCTTAGCATTGAAAAAAAGTGCAGTAAAACTCGTTATAACAATGTCACTGTTACCTATGAAATTACTTTGCTATATCCATAATATCCGTAAAAGGAATACATTATCTTGATATAGCTGGATAGCAAAGATAATTTTGCTATATCCATAATTTGTTTATATCCGTATAAGCAATTCATTAAAATTATAAAGCTGGAGATCCAAGATAACTTCGCTATTTCCGTAATTTGTTATATCCATATAGCAATTTGTTAAATTTATACGACTGGGTATCCAGGATAACTTTGCTATATTGTTGAATTCACAATATCTGTGTTCTTACTAAACAAGTTTTACTGCGTCTCTAATAACTTGTTAAATACATGATATGAATCCAGAAATGTTGAATTTTTTCCAGGGTTCCTATAGGATATATTTACAGTGTCAATCTAAAGTAAATTGCATGTTTCTCTACCCATGGATTGAATAAGAATTGCAATTCTGCAGAATTTTGACCCCATGGAAAAAAGTACATGTATGTTTATAGCATATTAAAAAGTGCATGTATCTTTACCTGTACGTTTCTGCTATGTACATGTATTATATCTTATTATTAATTTTAGGTGGGTGAAGCAAGGTCATATACCTTATCTGCAGGCCACCAAGATTCTTCCAAGTGACATGAAATTCTCTTCCACAGATAACAAAGCCTTTACAACTAAAGTAAGTAAAAAAAATAGTCCCAAAATTTTTAGCTCTACTGGTCAGAGACCGGAAAAGCTAATACATTCACTGTGTTTTGTCATAACACATCAAATTCTAACCCACTGAAATAATATTCATTCAGGTGCCCACAGTTGAGGAAATCACCAAAACAACGGAAAGGTTGATAAACTTTTTACGGGAAGATGAGACTGAAGTTTCCATTCCTACATCCATCCTTATCAGCAAGATCTTAGTTCTGATGAATTTACCAGGTACTATACACTGTACTGATCATGATTTTGTACAGACTAATGAAGTTTGTAATGAAGACTGTAACAATTTGATTTAAATTTCAGGAGAGCTTCATGGATTTGTACAAAGATTACACCTACTGCGAGCTGACAACGTAAGCCTGGAAGGTGAAGAGGAGGAGTGTAGTGTAAATAATGAAGTCATTGCCATGATGTGTATCATTACAACACTACAACTGTTACTGGGACTGAATGATAAAATGGAGTGGTAATTATTAACACTGTAACAAACATGTTATCTAAAATTCAAGTTAAATCTTTGCCCTTTTGAGTTTGGGATAGTGAGGTTTGACTATACTTTTGTATGTAAATGCTAGTTTTAAAGGTATTATTAGTATTTTTTATTTATTTGTAGGGAACTTTCAAAATGTGCAAAAGAGTTAATGGAAATGCCAGGTTTTAGTAAGTTTTCATAAAACTTTTAAAAAACATAACAATTGTAATTTTGTCTTGAATTTTAAACATGCATTGTCAAGCGATGCAGGGTAATTTTGAAGGCTGAAATAGAGTTAACACCATTATTCAAATATATCACCAGCAGACATTGATTGCTACATGTGGCATTCTATATTTCCATCTTTTGACTACTGTGATTTAAATATTTTATCATTATTTATCTATAGATATGTAATATCTGGATGATTATTTTTGTACAGATCATACGTTGTTTTGCTGGGAGCAGTGGGTATCTTACACAAGCATACATTCATTGAGTGGGACGTACTCCAAAGTGATGACAAACCAGTTGTAAGTGGAAATAAATGGAGATCTGTACATAAAAGTAAAAACAAGATCTTTTTTAACTGAAAGTAGCAAATGCCTGTAATTACATGCACAATTTCGATTAAATTCAAGTGAAATAATATATTGTACATTTTTAGAGGGATTGCAATTTTATATCTTAGATCACTATAAAGGTTATATTAATATTTGTGACTCTGTACATAGCACAGATAATTCTGATTGAAAAAAAAAAATTAAATTTATAGTACTCAGAAGTTATACTTTAAACTAGCATTTAATAGTCTGAAACATAACAAATTCAATGAATATTAAGATTGAATTTCGAGCACAATAAAGCACTGATGTTTTTTTTTTCTTAATAAAGTGACCCTCGGTCCATAACAGACATACAGAAATACATGGAGGAAGTGAAATCTCTCAAGTTAGAGGTCAGAAGGATGTCCAAGGACGCAAGAAGTAATTCTATATAATATGTTATATATATATCAATTGTAAATTAACACCATATGTTACTTGCTATAAAAATACTATTATATGTTAAATGCAGTACTGTAAAATATTTTATGCATGTTTTATTTCTTTCAAATCATGATTCATTTTAAAGTATGTACATGAATATAACATCTACCTGAACCAAACTTGCAGGGATGATGCATTTAGGTATGCACTACCATACTTCATTCAGATGATGGATCTGACCTAATGTTTACTGAATGAGTGAAAAGAAACTTACAGATGTAAGAAAGGTCTAAGTCCAATGGTGACCAAACACACATGTTGAATGCATCTAGTCATATTCATACACACTTCTAATATGGATATTGGATCTGACCTACATTTTCTAGTTGAGTAAACAAAGTTTTTGGAGAAGGTTTGATCCCAAGTTACTTTAAGCCTCACCTGGACCAAACTTGTATTGTTGATTCATGTAGGGAAATAACTTGATCTGAAAAAGAAAATAATAGACGTTTTTATTAGAAAAACTTGCTAAATTTACAATTTTTTGAATTAACTTTTAAATAAATGTTTAGAATAGCATTATTTAAAATTACATTTTCTCAGAGAACAAAAAATTTGAGTGAACAGGTTAAAGATTTCAAGGCACTGGTTCATTCTAACTTCTGTACTATAATCATGATAATCCCTAGCTAACCTGAACCAAATTTGAAAGTATTATACATCTAAATTAGAATTGCTTGGGATTCTGCATCTGGCATATTATTTTTGGATGATCGAGTGACCAAATTAATATTTTTGGAGCATGTACATATTGAAGTAACTATAATTAAGCTCTGTGGTTGCAAAACTATCAACGATCATCAATTCTTGTACATGTAGGCCTGGGATAAAAGCTATCAGATTGCTTCAGTCAATAGATATGATCCTTATATATCTAAATCAAGTTCTTTCTTGTAAACCCTATCAGATTAGCATGGATGAATGCATCTAGGAAATGCATACTCCCAGATTTACTTAAGATGCTGGATCTAATGTACCGGTATACATTTTAAAAATGAGTGACCACAAGTTCAAACTTTTGAAACAGACCCATTGTCAAATAAATATAAAAGTTAAGGTACTTACTTTACATATTAGATGTTTTATGTAGGGATGAAAACTTCTAACCTAGCTTGCATATTTATATACGCTCTCCAGTGTTTGGGAAAATTACAGTACAATTATATTTACTTATGTGAGTTTATAAATGGTCGAGTTATTGGCATCTTTTTCCTTCTGTTTAGGTAGCCATGTAAAGAAAATAAACCAAGAAGAAACTATAGCAGCTGTAAGAAGGCCAATTTATTTACTTGCAGAGGAAATTCAAAAGAATTACCAAAAGCAAGTCAAGCCTCAAAGTGATACAGATTTCCTGTCATCAAGTAAGCAAGAACAGATATTCAATGTGTTTAGCTTTATTAATTTATATGTACAGGACAGGCCCAAGCAGCTCATGGAATTTTTTCCTACACTTTTTCAAATTTATAACACCCCCATCCCCAACAAAAAAAATATTAAAATTGAGTTTCTCCTTATATATCTTTACCCATAAGTATCCACGAAAATGACATTCAAATAAATTTCATGGTTAGATTACTAGATAAACACAGCAATTTTTTATATTTTCGTATGGCTTATAAACGTAAAAACCTAATGAACATTTTTTAAATTTTTGTGAATGCATTGATTGATTTCTACCAATCATTTTTCAATTAATAAATAAGAATATGGTTCTCATGTAAAATAAGAAATATACAGAACTTGTCCTTTTCATAGACTTAAACAGTAATCACTTGTTTTTGTATATACTTTTAGTCTTTATGTATTTATTTTTGTTAAATATAGAATATGCAGAGGAGGATCCCCTAGGTTATATGATGGGGGAGTATGACAATGAAATATCTGATAATACAGAGCAGGAGACTGTGTCCTTCAAGTCTTACAGCTTAAAATACATCACCCAGCCAAGGTCATTTGTCAAGACACTAGAAAATCGTGGCCTAGATGACAGCACTATATACAGTTCGTGTTTTGAAAGTTCTGATGAAGACATTCAGGATGATTCAGAAAATGCAGAAACTTTAACACAAAGCCGAAAAAGGAAACACAGAAAGGAAAAAGCAGAAATGAGGGAGAAATTATCCAAAGTGATTGATTTCAGTCAGTCAGAAGAAAGTAAATTTGATACCAAAAAACTGAAAGAAATTTCTGACATGGTGATAAGTGTACAGGAGAGTTTTCCGTTGTTTGACCCGATGGATGTTGTGACCAATCAGAGTGCTTCTCTTCAGTGGTTGATACAGGTCTGTGCTGGACTGATTCAGTGTTCAGTAGAGACCCTCAGAACCGAGCTTGTGAAATTCCAGACCACTCTGTTTGGTAAAGAAGACTTGAACTGCACAGATCGGAGTGAATTTCTGCATAGTATTGCAAACAAGTAATAATTTCCCATGGAATGGTTATAAGTATCAATAAATTGTACCAAACATGTTAAATGGGTGCATTTTATTTCACTTTCTTAGAGAATATATCCTCAATATGTAAAAAAAAATTACACAAATTGTAAACCTCATTCTAAACAAATTTTTAGGTCACTTGAGGCAAAGGCTCAAGTTAGCTTTCTTCATCAAAATTTGTTGGTTGTCTGTTGTGTTGGTGTCATTTTACATAAACTTTTCATTAATTCATCCTCTCAAAAATCACTGGGCCATTTTCAACCACTTACCAAGCATCTTGGGTGAACGGGATACCGTACAAGTGGAAATTTTAGCGAGACACAAATTTAGCGATTTCTACCTAAAATCAGGTATTTTATTTTTAGGAGAAGAAATTTTAGCGATTTTAAAATGCTAAGTAAAGAAGCTATTACAAATAACATGAATAATAAGCAATAAAGTTTTAGCGATATTCAATTTTAGCGATGTCAGCATCCTCGCTAATAATACCAAAATTAAATCCTCGCTAAAAATTCTACTTATACAGTCCCAGATAGCATGACTACGTTGGCCCAACGTTGGCTAATGGTTGGATCGTTGGCCGATGGTTGGCGTTGGGTTTACAACGTTGGCCCAATGTTGGGCCAATGTTAACATTACACTACAGGTAAACTTCGGTATCTCGACATCGGATATGTCGACAACCTGGGATATGTCGACGTCCGTCCGCGGTCCCGGCATTATTGTCTGACGTCACGGCGTCCGACAGTACTAGATTTAACCAGGGCTTATTTATGCAGTCGTTCCATGAAATTGTTTTGATAGCTCGATGGTGGAAAATTCGATACATGCAAAATCTCTAAAGACGCATGTAGTTGGTCCCAGGAGGAAATGAGCTTTTATTTACATTACTGAATGTTCTTGTGTTTAGTATAATCCGTTTTTCATCTTTGAACATGTCCGCTTCACTTCTCTATACAAAATGCCTTTAATATTATATAAATCTCACTGTTTTGTGTTGTGTATCAAAGATTAATAATTAGTCATTTTACATGTTATGGTTAAATAATTGAATGTTTGTTTCAGTAAAATTATACCTTGACATTGAATTACTTGTACCTAAACATCAGGAACATGGTCAAATATTTTCTCCTAATTGCCTTGTTCGACGTTTTGAAAAAAATGATAATACGGTGCCTGAGAAATATGCAGCACTTTTAATTCTTTATTGTGTAAATAGATTTGTATGTTGCTGAAGTGTTATACTTCACTCCTATCCAACGATTATATTCAAGACGATATTACATCGTAAATTAGTTTGCATCTTGTTTCTTTTCCATGATGCTTCAGTTCAGAATTTCATCAATCAGTTACGTGTTAAGTAGAGAATAATTGTACATCAAATGGTTTGAAAAACAATGAAAGCTTTCAAGAACAGCAGGGGAATGGTCAGCATGTGTAACGCTATGCCAGGATTGTTATCGCCAGGGTTAAGTTTAGGGTTATACGCGCCCATTAAGTGATCAAATTTCATCATTTACAACCTTCATTTTATTCTGTTTGTTTAATAATAATTTAATTTCCTATTATGAATCGTTCTGAGGAAGATATAATTTTTGTATAACATAACTTAATTGCCTACGTCACAATGAGTTACGTCAAAAACGTTTTAATGCGCTTGACGTTATTTTTAAAATAATGCATAAATTGTTGCCTTTTTCCGGAGGAAATATTGTCTCATTGTCTTCAATGAAATTAAATTATAAGGAATGAAGCTTATTTCAACTTATGTTATCCGATATAACATAACTTGAGACAGTTTACGCTTTTTATAAACCGCTTCGCGGTTTATAAAGCGTAAACTGCCCCAAGTTATGTTATATCGGATAACATAAGTTGAAATAAGCTTCATTCCTTAAAAAAATCAGTTAGGTTAGGTCATTTAAAATATATAAAACATTACTTGAAAAATGCTGACCCGGGATCAAGAAACATCTTTAGCCTAAGTAGATCAAAATCAGTATTTTATGATAAAATGTTGTAAAAGTCAAGCAGACCAGAAGGGTTATGGTTAGGGATATTTTTAACATTGTTTTACAGAGATGTTGTTATGTGCGAATGAAGAAATAAATTCCATTAATTAATAAATATTTTATCGGCGATTAAAAATTTCACATAAGTCTTACTTTGTTTCATGGAGCCAGGAGATTCAATTAAGAGTTCACTGTACATTAATTATCAAAGGCCTATACAATATTGATTACGCATGCATGGTCTCTTGAAGATATAAAGAAATTATATAACATAATATATACGTTCTTTCTGCATTATGAATTTAAGCAAACCACGTCAGACAAGCTTTTTTAGGAAAGCTAATACTTGTTTACTATATAAATGATTTGCAAAAACTCTGATATGTCGACCTCGGTAATGTCGACTACCCCGCTTATCTCGACGTATTTCACAGTCCCAAGAGCAAAATTTACCTGCTATATGTCGACATCGGGGCAATTTTCTGCTCTACTTAACCTAATTGTTTGTCAGCTGGTCGCTCGTCACGCACGGACGACTCCGTGTATCTCGACGTCGGCAGAAATTCACACCTTTCACACCCATGATTTGACTACATACTGCTCTGTAGAAATGTGTTTGTAGAGGAATCCCAAGCCCCCTCGGCGTCTCTAATACGTTAGGCCTAATTAAAATTGTTTAATGTTCAGCTTGGGTAATATTCATAAATTTTCTCGATTCTGCTTAAATGTAAACCGTTTTTTTTTTTATGTTGTAATCAAACAAAATTTAAACATTTTATTAAAAAAGTAACCGAATAACAATGAACAATATACACATTGAATTCAATTTAACTTAAAAATTGTAGTAAAAATGCATTCAACAGGAATCAATCAAATATACGGCATGCACGACTATTGCATCAGCCGTAATATGACTGCATATGTTGTTAAATGCGCAATTCCAGTTTAATTTTGCTTTGAAAATAAAAAAGAAAATTAATGATGAATGATTATGAAATAAAAAAGAAGTGAATTGAAATAATTCAAAAATTATACGCATTAATTTTTTCCCGTATCTCGGAAGTCGACTTTGTACCGTTCCAGTTTGGAGTTTATAGAGAGCATTTCGTATCCTGTTCTGACAGAGCTAGTGGCACGCGGATCGAAAGCTGGATGGAATTGTACTATGATAAGATTTCGATTAAAAAAGAAAGCATTTAACATTTGTGAATAACTTCTTAGATTTTCTAATAAATATAGAGGGATACTGAAACAAACGAGCTACAGTCTAATTGAAGACATGTACATGTAGGTACCTGTAGGTACGTCTGTTCATGTCCATGGTTTTAGAAAGAAGTAAAATGACGGACGTCCAATCTTAACTCTGATATCTCGACACCTCGGATATCTCGACATTTCCCGACTGTCCCGTCGATGTCGAGATAACGAAGTTTACCTGTATTTTACTCAGAGGCTGGGGTTGGTTGGGGACACAACGTTGGCCCAATGTCGGGCCAATGTCAACATTACAATTTTACTCGGAGGCCGAGGTTGGTTGGGGACACAACGTTGGCCCAACGTTGGGCCACTGTTGTTGGCTTGTCAGCACTTAGTTGACAGATTTTGATGGGAGTACAACATTGGCCCAACGTTGGGCCAACATTGGTGAATCACGCTCTTATTTTGTTTTAGTTTGTTGGGCATACAACGTTGGCCCAATGTTGGGTCAATGTCAACATAACACTATTTTACTTAGAAGCTGGGGTGAGGACACTTCAGTGTCCCAACGTAGGACCACTGTTTACAACGTTGGGTTTACAACGTTGGCCCAATGTTGGGTCACTGTCAACATTACAATATTTTACTCAGAGGCCGAGGTTGGCTGGGGACACAACAGCTACACAACGTTGGGCCATTGTTGTTAGCTTGTCGGCCACTAAGCTGGCAGATTTTGTTGGGAGTACAACATTGGCCCAACATTAGGCCAATGTTGGTGAGTCACGACCTTATTACGATACAATATTTTGTGTAGACAACGTTGAACCAACTTTAAGTGAAGTCAGAATTCAGGAAACATGTGAACTGTTTGTTAAAAAATCGGACAAGAAGGTGGAAAAGTAAAAGAAAAAGAAATAGTAAATTATGTACATTTAATGTTACATCATACCAACCACGAATACCTAAAAACATGCATGACGATGTATCAAGTAATATAACTTTTGTATTTTTTAATTTAATGTGAAACTTATATAAAATATGTGTAAATGTTAATTTAAACACTACTAGTTCTATAAAGTAAATGTTTTTGAGAATAATATAACAAAAATTTTAATTAACTTGCATATTTTACAAAATATAAGACGAGCAAGACACACACTTTCTAAAGTGTTGCATTTAGGGGGCATATTCTAAGATAAGAGAACATTTTCTGACTAAACAATTAGGCCAGGGTTTTGCACAGCGTGAGACTGGCCAGTTTCTATGGTAATTGTGATATCTGATAGGACAGGATGGTCAAATCTGCATCCTTTTAGCACGCCTAACATTTTAATCTCGGATGTTTCCTACAGCAGAACGTTGAAGATTTTATGTTAAAAAGAGAGCTTTGGAATGTGTATTCTTTACTGTGGATTAATTTTTATAGCTATGTCCAGACATATCACATACGGATCGAAATGTAAGTACTATATTTACCTCTCAAATAACATGTATTTCAGATTTTAGAACACAAAATGCAAAGTTTGTTTCATGCGATCTTTATCTTTTTCTAAGTTTGCTTTTGTTTTAAATAAAATATGTAACTAGATCAGTCGCTAATCACTGTATCCTTTCTGTATAAAACTTATAAAATAAAATGTATTTTTGATCTATGTCAATTATTATTACCTTAATCAAAATCTAATTTGTAAATTTAATTTTTGAATATCTTTGAATTTTTGCCTGAGTCACTTTCGTTTCATAAATTTCTCTTATATTTCTACCATTAAGAAAACAAATTTTGGAATTGTTACTTTGTGTTTCACATGTTTCAGGGAAATCAAATCTCTT